CTTGTTACCTGATGAAACCAGCAGCCAACAAAAAAATTACCCAGTCTGCTATTCCCAAATACAAACAAGAGAGTTTGGACAATAAACTGAGTCAAATGAACTTATGGGCTTTGCTACTAGCTCAAAGAACCAATGATTCCTGGAACATATAATAATATTAGTAGCTAGGCCAAGTGTGGTATGCACATTTGTAATATCAGCACTTGGGAGGCTGAGGCAGGAGACTCTTGAGTTCAATGCCAGTCTGGACTACATAGCAAAGACCTTATCTCAAAAAAAACATTAATAGCTAACATTTATTAAATGCTTTCTATGGATGGACACTATGCTAGCACTTGATATATTTTATCTCACATAGTCACTTAGCAACACTATGGGATAATTTTTTTGTAGTAAAGGGAGAATAGCAGAACATTTTTGTTTTGTTTTGGTTGGTTTGGGGTTTTTTTGGTGGGACTGGGTTTGAACTCAGGGCTTTGTGCTTGCAACACAGGTGCTCTACTGCTTGAACCACACCTCCAGTCCATTTTGCTCTGGTTATTTTAAAGATGGGGTCTCATGAACTATTTGCCCCAGCTGGCCTAGAACCTCAATCCTCTCGATCCCAATCACCCAAGTAGTTTGGATTCGAGGTGTGAGCCACCAGTGCCTGATAGATAAGTATTATAATACCCTCATTTACACAGATGAGGAAGCTCAGGCACAGAGAGGTTAAATTACTTGCCCGAGGTTACCCAGCTAGTGAGGGACAGAGCCTGAATTTGAATCCAGACACCTTACCCCCAGAGACAGTAGAAAAGTTACAGACACACTGCCAAGATCTGAGACCTAATTTCCTATGGGATTTTCCTTCTTTCACCCAGTAAATGGTGTTGCTACATTTCTTGCCAAGTGTACCAAGAACAGAAAACACAGAAGTCTAGCTCTTCCTTTCTCTGGCTTATAAATTTGTGAAAACTAAACATATTCCCCATGTTTTCTCATTCTTTAAAATATGAAATAATTTTTAAAAACACATTTCCCTGGAGCTCGGAATTGGAAACAGACTATCAAATGGAAGGGTGCCCCACATTTGCTGTGTCGGGTAATTTCCTTCACGACTCTATAACTAAGTGCTGTGCTGGCGTGTGGAACTGAATCCCTATTGTGTTTAGTCGAGCAAGTTTGACTAATGGCATGCTCACTCACTATGGTGTCCTGCCAGGTAGCCTGGAGAGCCCTGGGCCCCAGACATCGGAGATCGTGTTATGTTGTGAAGCAGGCATGCAAAACTAACCATTATTTCTTGATTCTTCATTTTCAATAATCACTTTGTCTAATTTAGTATTTTATCGAAAAACTACCAATGAGAACTCCTACTTTCAGATGGCTTATGGATCTTAATGAGCCCAATTTTCTTAAAAACATACATATTTGAAAATCATGTGTCAGACCAGAATACTTTGGACTTCCTATCAATAGAAAAATGACATTACTAAAACGATAGGTATGTTAGAAAGGATATAGTGTTCCCAATGTTTTTTAAACCTAGTTTCAATAAAATTATATAATCGCATTCATGTAGTTTTTCCTTCCTTAATAAAAGAAATTATTCCATAGTAAGAAAAGAAGAAATATTGACATGGAAGATAACTCCAAATCACTAGAAGTATAGTGCTTTGCTAGCATGTGTTATTCTGAACACAAATGCATGGTTTTGATAGAAAATCAGTTTTTCTAGTCTTCATTAAATAAATGAATTAAAAGAATAGTTGAAATATATTAGTTTTAAGGATGACAAATTAGTAACCTGTGTGTTTTGGATCTGTTAGGGGCTTGGGGCACTGCAGTCTCTTTTAAGTCCTTATAAAAGATCTGATACTGGGAATACGAAGTATATGGGAGGGCAGGACCCATAAAGGCCACAAGATGTCGCTTTCAACAAGCTCTTGCTTACAGCTAATACCGAGGTAGAAAGAGCGTGGAAGGATGTGGACCATATTTTGATGTAATAACCAGGAGTGCATCCATTAGGATATAGTACATTGGCTATTTCTATTCTTCTAGCCTTCCTTCCTTCCTTCCCTTCTTACCTCCCTCCCTTCTTCCCTTCCTTTCTTCCTTTCTCTGCTGAAGAGCAAACACATATGCTAAACAAGAGCTCTACCACTGAAGAGCTGGGTGTGGTGACTGAGGCTAAGGCAGAAGTGTGAGTTCAAGACTAGCCTGGGCTACATAACAAAATCCTGTCGGAGAGGTATAGGGAGGCAGAGGGAGGGAGAGAGAGAGAGGCTATTTACTTCAACTCTTAGCTTTTGGGAAGGTAACTGGGATTCCTTGTCTGCTCTCTTTGCCTTTGCCTCTTAACGTGTAGTACATCTCCATTTATGTTGGTCCCCTCCCCTTCTTTCTTATTCTCCTCCTCCTCCTCTTTCTTCCCTTTCTCCTTCCTCTCTTTCTCTCTCTTCCTGGTTGCCTTGAGGTAAGCAGCTTTGCTCTACCACATGCTCCCTCCATGATGTTCTGCCTTACTACAGGCCCAAAGCAATAGGGCCAAGCAACTATACACTGAAATTCTGAATCCATGAGAGATTCACAAAAAGTTATTTTTCTTAGATTTTTTGTCACAAACCAACACACAATATCTCCATAAAATGGCTTTCAAAAAAAATTCTGGCCAGACATCAGTGCCTCACGCCTGTAATCCTAGCTACTCAGGAGGCAAGAGATCAAGAGGATCATGGTTTGAAGTCAGCCCAACCAAATAGTTTTTGAGCCCCTCTATTGAAAAAACCCATCACAAAAAATGGGCTGGTGGAGTGGCTCAAGGTGTAGGCTCTGAGTTCAAACCCCAGTACTGAAAAAAAAAAAAAGAAAAGAAAAGAAATTCTGTGTCCATTAAACAGTAACTCCCATTCCTTCATCCCTCCAGGTCTCATTAGCATCATTTTACAGATGAGAAAACTGAAACTCAGAGAAGTTAAATAACTTACTGAAGGTCACTCAGTTTAACAACCACTGGTGCTAAAATTCCCATACCAGAGTCCATACAACTCTGATGCCTTGGCACTTAGTGCTGGATTTCAATGTGCAGCTTGTACTAACTCCTGTACTCCCATCAAATGACTCATAATGGCAACTTCTATTTCCCTTTTCACATAATATTTAGGAAGTTTGTTTTCATTTCCAAGAGATTACATAATGTTACTTTTTAATACTATTTTCAAGTGTTCATGCATTGTGGCCAAAGCACTTGCAAATTCTGCTTTTTGGAAACCAAACATTTCTTTTTGCTGAAATATACTGTAAAATACTAGATACTCTCTACTTAAGTGGACCTCATTACTGCACCTATTTTTTTGTTACTTTCTACTGAATCTCACAAAGGTTAAAAGCAATGTTATATTCCCCTTGCAATTGGGAGTATTTCCCAGTTTTCAGTGGTGTAAACTCTATGTAATCTGCCATTCTTTCTGCCTATTTTATTGGCCTGTAACTACAGTTAACATTTATTAAACACTTACTGAGTCCCATCTTCTGTGTTAAGAGCTTCCCACATATATTACTTGTCAAAAACAATTCTAGGGGTAGACAGGTGTGGTTTCAGGTTCTGTAGCTATGGGAGCTACAGTGTATTGAGCTATGTGTATTGAGGGACTTAGAAAAAAATACAAAATAACAAACACAAAATTAGGTACGTGATGAATGTTTGTTCAGAACGAGAAAACAAGTAACAAATTAAGAGATTTCTTCTGCATTCAGGAGAATGCTTCCTGGTTGCAATCTCCCCACCTAGACTACAAATCCCAGTGGCCTCTCCAATGGCTTCATGGTCAATGGGCTTGGCCTGGGGGGTAAGGAGAGGAAAGGGTAGGTACCATCATTAGCTCTTGTCCATTTTTTGGGACAGGGTCTCATTATGTAGCTCAGGTTGGCCTCCAACTCACGATCCTAAACTTCAGCCTCCCGAGTGCTGGGATTACAGGCGCAGTCGCACCTCAGTCTGCTTCATTAGCTCTCTTTCACAGATAACACCTAAGTTGAGTAAATCGCTGAACACTGTATCCAGAACCTGAAACCCATGCAAGTAACAGTCCAGAGCCGTCGCCCTTACCCCACCCCTTTTTTGGGGGGGGGGAGGTGTATTGGGGTTTGAACTCGGGGCTTCACATTTGCTAGGGAGGCTGAAGGGAAGAGAAGACAGTGAAGCCCCTATAGAAAGGTGAGCAGGATGGGCTGCACGGTCCTAGGGAAAAAACCGAAGGGAAAAAGGTAAAATGAGGCAGGAGGTTGCGCAAGTGACCCTGGGCACTTTTGATTTACAGAACGTACTGAGCCCAACCACGCCCGAGGGTGCCGCAGTGCAGCGGCCGGGCCTGGACGCCCGGAGCCATGTGGCCAGCGTTCCAAGGAGGCGATGGGAGCCAGGACAGAGACGGAGGCCGCGGCGGCCAGCAGAGGCGCAGGAAGGCGATGCGCTGAGTCTCTGGGGAGCTTCACAAACACAGCGGAGAAGAGGTACTAGGAACGCGACCCGAGCAGCACCGGAAGTAGAGGCTCCCTCTTGGCCAATGGCTGCATGATGCGCCGTCCGACGGTGGCCGGGGCGGTACCTGGAGGGAAGAGGCGGGCGGTCTATGAAGCGGAAGGAGGAGCCATGCTTCTGCGTTACTTGCGAACTACCAGGGACATAGCCACGGACTGGCGAGTCTCGCCGTATCTCTCCACATCGTTAACCTGCCCCAGCGCCACCACGTTTTAAACGAGTTCCGCCCCACACGCCACATCTGCCCTCAGCAAAGATGGCTGACGGGCTTGGATGAAAAGCCGGAAGTGGGCGGGCCTAGGAGGAACCGCAGGAGGCGGGGCGAGGCGGAGGCGGGGCGAGGCGAGGGCGGGGCTGGCCAACCAAATCAGGTTTGCGTTCTTTCCGGCGCATAGCCAAGGCCCTCGCTCCTCCCCTGGGGGGCGGAGTCCAGTCTGGCCCCGCCCCCTCAGGTGTTTCCCTCTTGAAGGGTGCGAGTTGAGTCCTGAGATTTGGGCTCTGTGGTCCTTCGTCCCTCCGCGGTGGCCGCCTACCCACGATGGAGGGCTCCGCAATGGGCGCCCCCGAGTCTGCGCCTTCTCCCCCCGAGTCCGAAGAGTTCCCCAGCTTGGCCAGCGGCCCCGAGGTAGCTCCCGAGGAGACCAATTGCTGCGCCCGGTCCCAAGAGGCGGCCCCCAAGAAACTCTGCGGGTATTTAAGTAAGTTTGGCGGCAAAGGACCCATCCGGGGCTGGAAATCGCGCTGGTTCTTCTACGACGAGAGGAAATGCCACCTGTACTACTCTCGGACAGCGCAGGATGCTAATCCTTTGGACAGTATCGACCTCTCCGCTGCGATCTTTGACTGCAAAGCGGACGCCGAGGAGGGCACTTTCGAAATCAAGACCCCCAGCAGGGTTATTACCCTGAAGGTAAATGCAACTGGTTTCCCTCCTTCCGAGCTGGGCGCAGGTGTGTCGTCGCCGTAAATTGACTGCAACAGGGATCACCCAGGGTGTCCTGGGTCTTGGGCTTTCCAAAGTGCACTGGTGCACTGTTGCCCATTTCCTCACTGCGTCGCCGCAGACAGGAATAAGAGACTCATACGGATCGGGAAACTGAGTCATTGAGAGACGAAGTAAGTTGCCCGAGATCAGGTGTTTAGAGTAATGTGGTCTGCACCTGGAATCCTGTAAATTTTGTACCTCTCAGTGATGTATCAAAACTTTACTTTTGGGAGTTCCTAACTACGCAGTGACCTTAACTTTCTTACTTGGGACTGAAGTACATTTATAAGACCGGGCTTGCAATCCTCAAGGCCAGGATTCTCATGCACTTGTTGTTTTGGGAAGGTAAACACGTAGGTTTCACTGATCGGCTTAGATTATTCATCTGGGCATGTCTGAACTAATAGGTGCTTAGTGTTTGTTAAAGGAACACATACATACACAGAGGTGTCCATCACTTAATTGAAAGACGATGTGGGCTAGGAGTTCTGTGGGTTTCACAGAGGTAGCCTCCCCTCCATCTCCATCTCTGGATGCCCACATGTCTAGTTCTCCTTTACTGGTGGGGTTTGGCTGGTGGCCAGACTGGGGGACTCAGCTAAAATAATGGAAACCAGGAGTTTCAGGCCCATAAAGTCATTTTAGAAGACATGTGTGTCCCAGGTCATGTGTCCCCTTCCACAGTGTCCCAACAAATGGCCTTTACTATTCCATTAATACAAGAATGTGCCTGTATGCTTACGTCTTCTCTTCGACAAAATTAGAGATAAGGGCAGAACAGGTTCTGCCAGGAAGGGGGGGAGGGGGGGAGGAGGAGAAATGACCCAAACAATGTAGGTACATGTGAATAAATGAATGAAAAAAAAAAAACCACTAAATTGTAAGGTTGGCTAAAAATATATTTAAAAAAAAATATGCCTGGCTCTGAGCTATGCTCTGAGGTGTGGAACAAGTCAGACCTGCCCTCCCCCTCTTCCCCCCCAATGCTCAAACAGCTTGAGATGTGGTGGGACAGACTGAGGGGAAACTGGCAAGCACCGTAAAATGTCCTATAGAGACACTATAAGCCGGGTAAGAAAAGTATGGCAGGACAGGGAGGGGCTATCCAGAAAGGCATCTCTGAGGCTTGAAAGAAAGATTTTTGACTAGCAGAGAAGAGGGAGAAGGATGTTCCAGACCAAGAGAGCTCCATGAGCAAAGATGAGAAAACACAATGTAGCCACCAATGTCCAGGCAAATCACAGGAGCCTGGCAACTCATGAGGGGGGGGGTCCAAAAGCTTCAGTTAGAAACCGAGCTTGGTGGCATATGCCTGGAATCCCAATACAAGGGAGGCTGTGGTAGGAGAATGGTGAATTTAAGGCCAGTCTGGGCTATAGATCAAGACTCTGCCTTAGAGGAACGTAACATAGGGCTGGCTGAGTGGCTCAAGTAGTAGATTGCCTATTTAGCAAGTGCTAGACCCTGAATTTAACCCCTAAGTACCACAAGAAAAAACAAAACTGCAGAGCATTTTGAAGAGTTGGGGGTGGGCATTCATGAGTTACGCTAAGAGGCTTGAACTTTGTCCTCCCAGCTGTGGAAGTTGTCTAAGAGCTGCTAGCAAGGAACCCTTGAGGTCAGAATGTTTGGAAAGCTCAGCCTGGCTCTTGGGCAGAGAACAAACTAGGGAAAGGTGAGGCAGGCAGTCAGGGAGCCCATTGGGAGGCAACTATGAGGGAATGGTGACTGAGCTAGAGCTGCAGCCCAGGAAGGGAGGCAGATGTCCAGAGATGTAAGGAAGTAGAATGACGAGAGGGCGGGGATAGCTGGAGTAACTGGCTGGCTGCCTGGCTGGGTCATCACTGACAAGAGGAATCTCAGGGTGAAGACTTGAGGTATATGTTCCCTGCAGTAGACTTTGTGGCTGGGTGAACTAAGGGCCACTTGATGTACTGCAGTGTGAACAGGGACCATGAGTGTTGGCTCACCACGGTATCTCTGTTGTCTAGAACAGTCTGATACACTGAGTAGGTGCTCAGTATATACCTGTGAATTATGTAATGTTTGGATTCGGTTGGAGCTCGCTAGCTTTAAGGTCATAGTGACATCCTGGGAGGGGCTGAGGTCTCTGAGGGACAGTGTATGGAGAAAAAAGACTGGTTTGTGTCATTTGAGCTTGATACCCACACAGCAGGCTGAGGGCCTGGTTCATGAACTCTCCCTCCCGATCCCAGTCACTCCTCGTCTGTGGCCCTCTTGAGAGGGGGAGTTTGCCCCCCGTTGCCATGTAGTCTGCAGCTATTCTCATGTGACCTTGATTGTGGGCAGCTGGGTGAGGCTCACCATCCATCCACTCCCACCGAGCTGCCTGTCCTCTGTGCCCCCATGATCTCATGTCTTCTTTACGTAAGCCACACATCTCCTGGCCACAAATTATGACAGAGTTGTAACCAGTCTAGAAGTGGGAGCTCTGAGTTCTGGGACCAGTGCTACCCCACATGCCTGTTCAGAGCCTTTGTGTCTCCACCTGTACAAAGTCCTGGTCACTCCCACTTTGAGTCCTTCTTGGAGGACCCTATGAGTTACTGGATGTGAAGGTGGGAATTTGGACTGTCCAGTGCTGGAAAATGAATGACTGGATCAACTGTTAACTTGTTTGGAATGCTGAAGACCCTGGCGGGTGCCACCACATTGTCACAGTATATATGTGGCTTTTTAGTTTCCATTCATATCCAGGATTCCACAGCAGGAGAGAGTATCTCCATTCCACAGAAAGGCAGCTAAGACATGAGGTGCTGCACAGAGAGAAGTGACAGTGCCAGGGCCCACACAAGTCACAGTTCCAAAGCTCTTTCTATCTCTCTCAGCACCTCTATTCCCTGAGCACATTTTGAGCACTTGCTGTATGTCAAGGACTGTGCTGGGCACCTTATTTCCCTCATCTCATTTCATCCTCATAACCATTGTATGAAATGGGTGTTTTGTTAACAAATGAGGAAACTGAGGCCCAGAGAAGTTAAGGAACCTCTGATGGGAGACCAGAGCCTGATTGTCTTCTGTGGCCAAGAGGCATGTGGTGTTTCCAAGATGACTGACAACCCACATTAATGGTATTTTTTCTGGCAAGCACAGAGTTCCTAAGCCTTCCCATGATCTTCCCCACAGCCACTCCCAGTGCCAACCTGTAGGCATAGTGCCTTGCCAATTAATCCTTGTGCTCCTCAGGCTGCCACCAAGGAAGTGATGCTGTACTGGCTGCAGCAGCTGCAGATGAAGCGCTGGGAGTTCCACAGCAGCCCGCCCGCACCTCCTGCTGCTCCTGCTGCTTCCCTGGCTGGGAATGGGCCCACCTTACACCTTGAGCTAGGTACCAATGGACTGGCCTCCTACCACACACCCAGGGCTCGGCGGGGGGGAGGGGGGAGAAGCAACCCTTTCCCCTGCTGCTGGGAATGAGTAGGAGGAGCCCTCTGAAAAGGAGGCTGAGAGCCAGGGATCAGTTAGGGTAGGAACATGGCTCTGAGGCCAAGCTGCCTGTGCAGATACTAACTCCGTGTGATATTAGGCAAGTTGCACCAACTGCCTGAGCTTCAGTTTCCTTCCCTATAAAATGAGGTTAGTGAATTATACCTATTTCTTAGAGTTGTTATGAGGATCAGTGGTTATGAGTGCCTCAGAGGGTTAGAGCAATGCCTGTATCTTGTCAGAGCCCTGTAGACATTAGCTACTGATACGATGACAATTCAAGGATGTCTTAAGAAATGAAGCTTGCACAGAGCTGCGATGAGGAGGATCAATGAGAACATGCAGTGTTGGGCCTTCTTATACACGTGCTTTTGTGCTGTGAGCTGGGTACAAGTGACTTTACTAGCCTGGTGTTCCAGAGGACAGACTCATTTGTCCCACGTGACTCACAGGTAAAGTTTCCTCCTTCCTTCCTTCCTTCCTTCCTTCCTTCCTTCCGTTTGTTACTTTTTATGGTGCAGGGAATCAAACCCAGAGCCTTGCACATGCTAGGCAAGTGCTTTATCACTGAGCTATATCCCATGCCCTTGGTTTTCAAGAGAGGGTCTCATTTTGTAACCCAGGCTGGCCTTGAACTCTCAATCCTCTTGCTTCTGCCTCCCAAGTGCTGGGATTATGGCATGATTCACCATGCCTGGCCACAAATGAAGTGTCTTGATTCCAAGTTCTAGAATATCTTGGCACGGAGGAACCCGAGAGATCATACCCTCCCATTACCATGCCACAGTCAGAAACTCAATTGGTAGGTTTCAGAATAGGGAGGACCCACCCCAAGCTGCCCTTCCAAGAGGATTGCTGGTCGGATCCCAGCACCAAGTCACCTTAGTGAACAGGGAGGCTGAATAGACAAAGGCAGGACTTGTGGCAAATGCCTCCTGAACTTCTGTCCCCAGTTCTTGGAATGTCCAACACCGAGGGGCAGACACAGGCAACCGTGTCTGTCCATCAGTGTCCGCCCCTCACTATGTGACCCCTGGTTTCCCAGTTGCTCCAGCAGCGGCCAGTTGCTCTCTGCTCTTCCTGAATCTTGGCTACCAGTCCAGAAGGGCACTGTCCTGGACCCTCTTGCCCTCTGACCTACACATCAGCTCCCAGGCCTCCTCACTGCCGTTGCTTGGCTCAGACCTCATCTCTCAACTGGACAATCACAGCAGCCTCCTCTCCAGTGTCCCCATGTCCAGGCCTGTGTCTGAGCCTGTGTCCCCCTGTAGCCTGAGTGTGCTTTTTAAAGTGAAAAACTGATCTCGACACCCAGATGGGCCAGGTCCTGGCATGGCGCCCAGGGCTCATCCCTGATGACATTCGACCAGTGCCCCTGGGTGCCCCCGTGCTGTGCTTTGGCTCCCTCTGCTTTGCCTGGCGAACTCCTGCTTACTCTCTTAGGCAAAGCTCTGTTGTTGCTGCCCATCCTATTGGCCCCCTCTTGGACACCTTCTGCGACTTTGCCAGCTGCACTAGGTATATGCCCTCAACACTCTTTTTTCTTTTTTCTTTTGGTGGTACTGGACTTTGAACTCAGGGCCTATACACCTTGAGCCACCCCACGGGTCCTTTTTTTGTGATGGTTTTTTTTTGGGATAGGGTCTTGAGAACTATTTGCCTGCGCTGGCTTTGAATCTCAATCCTCCTGATCCCTTCCTCCTGAGTAGCTAGGATTACAGGTGTGAGCCACCAGCGCCCAGCTATAAATTTCTCTCTCTTTTTTTTTTTTGAGGGCACTGGACTTTGAACTCAGGGCCTTATACTTGCTAAGCAGGTGCTCTACCACTTCAGCCACTCTGCCAGCCCCTTGACGCTTTTAAGCATGACTAAGGAGGCCTGTCACATCATGTTTTGATTCCCAGTGTCCTTGTCAGTCTCCACTCATTACCCTTAATGGTAGGAACCATTTTTTTGTCACCTGTGTCCCCAGTCCTTGGTGCTATCCTTAGCACATTGGACATTTATAGAGTGAATGTTAGGTAAAAAGATTGCACTTTATGATGAATTGAAGAAAAGAATATAAAGTCCATGATAAATATAAAATACATGGTGACAGTCCTAATAATACTATATATGTGTATGTGTGTATACACTGTTACTGTCACAATAGCACACATACACAGGCTATTACTATCATAATAGCACACGTGCTTTATTGCTATCATAACAGTACACACATAATATGTTCTGTCGAAATCATAGGCATACACACACACACACACACACATACACACACACTATTACTGTCATATAACTGCTGTTTTCATTGTTGCTAACAATCGCCAGCAATTCTTTGGGTAGCCTTTGGAAGGGTTTCTTTGTACCTGTACTTCTAACCCAGCCCCCACTCCTCTGCCACCAGACAGCCAGACAACCCTGGCTATGCAGAAAATTGCAGCCTGAGTTGACGCGATTGCCAAAAGTCAGCCTCAGTCTAGAAGCAAGTAGGAGAAATCCTCCTTCCTGCATGTGTTTGACTGAAATATAAAGAATTGGGTTTTTCAAAACTGGCTTGGGACTCCACAGGTTCCTTTCTGCTGCAGCAAACCTGGTCCAAGTTCTTAATTCACATATGCTTTGCTTCAACACACGTGGCCTGGCCTGTTTGGGACCAGCCTGCTGTGGGCACAGGGGCAGACCATGTGGTTACAGTGTGACCAGGGTGCTGAACTCCCAGGGAAGAGGCTAGCAGGAGACACAGGAAGTGGAGGTGTGGGCTGTCCCTCCTGAGGCCTTTCTGTTCCATGATAACCAAGTCTGTACCACCCAGAGGTTCAGGCTTGAGCAGAAGCCTTCCCCGATTCTCAGAAAAGCCTTGCTGGAGTCTTGAGCAAGCCAGTGAGCCATGGATTGGCTGTGGAGCAGGCTGCCCCACCTCTGCAGACTCCACCCTTCCTGAGGAACCAGGGACTGCTCCAGGCCAATGCAGACCTCCTGACCCACTGCTGACTTTGAGTCAGAGACACCATCCTGTAAAAAGAGCTGTGACACAGCCCATGAACAATCTTCAGGGCACCGTTGCTATAGCTTTTTAGCATTTATAACTTTTTTTTTTTTTGGGTGGTACTAGGGTTTGAACTCAGGGTCTCCTACCTGCTACACAGGTGCTCTACCGCTTGAACCACTTCCCCAGCTCCTCCCTGGGTTTTGTTTTGTTTTGTTTTGTTTTTTTAAGACAGTGATTTCCTTCCTGACTATTTAAGAAAGTGATTTGCAACCAGGTCATAGCACCCTCCTTATGGAAGCAGAGTGTTGGCACAGACCTTCCAGCTAAAGGCAGAAAAAACACAACAGGTTCAGTACTGGAGGCTTCTGCTCAAACCTTGGAGGGGGGAGCTCAGCTTTTCCAGCCAAATGAGATTCAGCCCCTGAGCCACACTCCTCCCATGTGGCCTTCCAGCCCCTTCCCCCTGGGTTACCACCCACCTGCTCAGCTCTGGCACCAGAACCCCTTACTGCTGCCTGTACCTATACTTCATACACGACAAGCCATCCTAGTTCCTCCTGCAGGTCCAAGTCAGCTCTAGCCATCCAGGCCTGGCTCCAGTGCTTCCTCCAGGATGCCCTCCTTGACTTGAGTTGGAAGGACCCTATCTCTATCTCCCAGAATGGCACTGTGCCCTAGCTCCTACCCACCTGTCCACTGTGCCCCTTCCCACTCCTTAACTGTGAGCTTCTGCAGCTTTGCCTCCTTTCACTTCCCCGGCCTGGTCTGTTTGGTGGAAGGGTGTGTAGAAGGGAGGACTTTAGAAAGTACTGCTAAGTACTGGCCAGCCTGACCATCTGGCTAATTCCTACTGGGAACTAGCCAACATATTGTGCATTGTTGTTTCAACAATTGCCAAATTTTTAGATGTAATACACAAACAGATTTCCTCCACCCCTTAATGTTTCACCCTCTCAGTAAGAGGGTTCCAAGAGAAACATGTCTGCTGGCTCTTTTCCACTTTTTATAAACTCTCCATAGTAAGTTTGAACTCAGGGCCTCACACTTGCTGCTTGCTAGGTAGGTGCTCTTACCACTTGATGGGTTTTTTTTTTAAATCAAGATAGGGTCTTGTGAACTATTTGCCTGGGGGCTGGCTTTGAACCACGATCCTTCTGATCTCTGCCTTTGGAATAGCTAGGACTACAGGTGTGAGCTACAGGCACCCGGCTCCATAGCAACTGCTAAACATGTTACCCTTTTCTCTCTTACACTTCAAGTGTTGTTTCCCAGTCTGGAAACTTTCCTTAACATTAAACATGTTGAAATCACTCGCTCTACGAAAATTCTTGTTTAAGCAGAATGTTTGGAAAACAGTTATGCAGGAGACAAAGCATCCCTAAGCCTATCAACTAGAGACAGCTGATGTGAACACTGCGCTGTGACCTTGTATACCTCCTTTTGTTTAAATGTACTTTGGGTCATATAATAAGACCAGTTGCTCTTACTTTGCTTTTTGGTACTTAGTACTATGACCCTAAGACTACCCTGTGTTTTAAAATCTCTCTCTCTCTTTAAAACTCTTTATAAGCATGTTTTTGATGACTATATGCTCATTTTCTATTTATAAAAGTAAGCCATGTTTCCTATAGAAAACTTGGGAAAACAGTAAAACATGAGAATGGCTTCTCACTTCTAACCCCATCGTACAACTCTAACCACTGCTATGATTACAGAACATACTTCTTTGAAGCTTTTTCTGTGCAAGTGGGATCACACAATTAACTCCAGTTCTTTAATCTGGACTCTTCCATCTTATATTCTTTCCCATGCATGTTCTGCGTGTGTGTGTCTGTGTGTCTTTGTGTTGGCTTTTTTGAGATAGGAGGTTGGCTTCAAACTCAATCCTTTTGCTTCAGCCTCTCAAGTGCTGGGATTACAGGTGTGTACCACCATACCTGGCTTCCTTGTGTCCTTACGCATTCTTTATTAACATTGGTTTGCATGGTTGAGTAATATTCCATTGGATGAAGGCATCATGAGTGACCTAGCATGGTCCCAAGTTTTTAGATCTTTACAGGATTTCCAATTTGAGGCTATTGCAAACAATGCTGGGACAAATCCCTTGGTGCCTCAAGTTTTCTGTGCCCTTCAGACTTCTTTAGACCGGATTCTCAGATGTAGGGTTATCTGCAGGTGTACATATTGTTAAGGGATTTTCAGGAGGGCTGCACCAGCCAAATGTGTCATGTTCCAGACTGCAGAGCATGCTGGGAAAGCCTCTTTTGCTGCTGTTAATCTGAAGGGCAGGCTTGCTTGCTAGGAAACTGCCCAAACCCTGCGTGCTCTTGGGTCTAGACTGAGCCTTCCATGTTCAGTGCCCATGGATTGATTGCCTGTCCTTTGCTCCCCAGGGCAAGAGGAGGCAGAGCTGGAGGAGCTGTGTCCTGTGAAAACGCCCACTGGGCTTGTGGGTGCAGCGGCTGCCTTGCAGCCGGCCCCTGCCATGCACTTGGCCCTTCAGAACATCTCCCTCAAGCATCTGGGAACTGAAATACAGTAAGTGCCAGTGGGGCAAGGGGGACCAGGCCTCAAGCAGCCCCTTCTGTGGAGCTCCATTTGATGCGGTCTTGCAGGGAGGCAGCATGAGGGCAGGGCTATGGGCTTTACTTTCAATTAATCACGTTGTTACTTTAAAATATCTGGGCATGGTGGCAAGCTCCTGTAGTTCCAGCACTCAGGAAGCTGAGGCAGAAGTATGGTGAGTTTGAGGCCAGCCTGGGCTACATAGTGATACCCTATCTCCAAACCCAACCAAACAAGCAAATAAATGAAAAGTGACCTTTAATCTTATCACACAGACAGACATGTTTAGTGGTTGGTCTCTTTCCTCTGCATTCTCTGTGTATATGGATGCATAATTGAGATCATACTGAATGGAGCAGAATGTGATGGTTTCACAAAGGTCGATCACATCAAATGATTCACTTGTAACGTGTTACTTATTGCATGTCAACTATGTGAGCTACTTTTTCACTTAATCAGGTACTATGTATAGCCTTTCCTGTTGCCAGGCTTTGTCTTAGACAGTGGCATGAAAGGTTGCAGTGTAGCCTGAGCCTAGATCCCAGTTCCGTTAGCAATGGACTGTGCCACCCTTAGCAAGTGTTTGCTTCCTCTGTGCATCACTTACCCTGTTTAGTAAATTGAATATAGCGGTGCTTGCCTTGCAAGGTTAGAGTAAAGCCTAAAAGACCGAAGGCCTGCAAACTGCTTCACAGCTGGGCCTGACACTCACAAGCAGGTGATAAGAGTTGGGTGTGGCTGCCATTTTTGCAGAAATGGAATTCACACTGCACCCAATACTGATCCCATTAGGCTGTTTATGTTCTCTGTGAACTTCAAATGAACTTGGTCTGCTTAGAGGGCAGAACAGATTGCTCGCTGGATTTGGATTGGGGGGACCCCAGCTGTGTGACTGAGGCACAGTGTATTCCTCTGTGGCTTCAGTGACTTGTTGACTAAGAGGGTGCTGAAGCAGATTTTAGAGAAAAGAAGATGAGTGTCCTTTGGGGCCCACTCACTGGGGGCAGTGCTACCACACAGGCATTTGGAGAGAGGTGCTAGAGCCCAGAAGAAAGATCTGAGTTGGAGAAAGGTGTAGGGGGCATGGGGCATGGTTGAGCCCACCCAGGAGGCAAGGGGGCCTGCAGGGGCTCATCTCTGGGGAGAAGCTGAGGGGTACTAGGTGCACTGCAGGCATGCTGTGGGGAAGAGGAAGCCTGAGAAGTCTACCTGTCACCAAGGTGAGGCCAGGCTGTGCCTGATGGAGGTCGCAGCAGCAGAAGTGGAACAGAGGGCATGAGGAGACAGAAAGGAAGGAAGTTTCAGAGCATCACTTAGGCACTTCCTTCTGTCACTTGTGATAGCCACAGAAGATGTGAGGCAACCTTGCAAGAGGAGTGCCCTGCATTGCTGAGGGCCCCAGACAACGTGGTAAGGCCAGAGCTTCCTCTGTGTCTCGCACCCCCAGGCCCCAGCAGGCCTTGGAACTTGTTGTTGTGCTGAGTGAGCAGAGGTGACCCTCAGGACTGTGCTAGAAGCTTGTGCTCTTGGTGACTTGTGCAGTGGTGTTATTACATGGTAAGCTCTCAAGCCATGAAGTCAGACATCTAGGTCTGATGCTCAGCTCAGCACTTACCAGGTCCCTGCTTCGGTTACTTATCCTCTTAGAGTTTCAGTTCTGCCTACTGTCCGGTGGACTGATAATAGTACATTCTTAGTTGGGCTGTTGTGAAGATGAAATGAGTAGAATGCATTATTGTGTTTAGCTCATAACTTAGCCCATGGAAGGACCAGCCGGTGTTTGTTGTGGATATGTTCGTCATCCCCATTGCAGATGAGAAACTGAGGCTCAGGGAGGATAACTGGGTTGCCCAAAGTTATCCCTCCAAAGAAGTCTTCATGACCGTCACCTGTGCTGCCTAGGCCTTTCAGACTAGGGCTAACCCTACATAGAAAATGGTCCATGAGTCACTCCAAGCAAAGTTGATAAATTTATGAAAGAGAGGTGCCTCTTCTAAGAACAGTGTTTTGGCTGAGTGGTGTCTACCTGGCCTATGTCCAAAAGTGGAGCGCTCCCTATCCCAAACAAGAAATGTGCTAGGACTTAGGAGGCTCCTCGCTGCCCTGAAGTTGGGGTTCCTATGCCCTCCCACACCCCAGGAGTGATGAGTCACAGCCCTGGGACATGTTAGGGAATCTGTGGTTCCTCACAAGGGGAAATGTAGGCAGTGGTGACAGTCACCCACCCAACGTTCGGCTATGGGATTGTCCTGCTGGGTCCCCTGAGCTTTCATGACTTGTGGTTTGTGAGGTCCACAGGACCTAGCATGGTAGTGCTCAGTAAGTAGTAGTCTCCATGGCCGTCATTACTTTTTTCAGTGTGCCCACCACTCTTCCATTTTTAAATGGGGAAAGTAAGGACTAGGAAGGGGACAGAGACATCCCAAGGGCTCAGCGGCACTTTATAATAGGACTTCAGTCCTAACCAAGTTCCCAGGACTGCTGGGCTTCAATTTCTTCTCTGTTCTCAATTTAACCGATAAACTTTTCCTTCCATCAGTCCATGAAGGTACAATCTCATTCTTTTCTTACTTTGGACCCAACTTTACCCCCAAAATGGATTTTTTGTTTTAAAGCCAAGTTTCAGATCAAATGGTTTTTCTTTGAAAAGATCAACAAAACTGACAACTTTTAACTAGATGAGCCAAGAAAAGGGAGAAAACTCAAATTATTAAAGTCAGGAACAGAAAAGGAGGCATTAATACCAACCTTAGAGAAATAAAAAGGGCCGGGTGTGGTGACACATATCTGTAATCTAAGCCCCAAGGGGAGATAGAAGAGGAGGTTTATGTGTTGAGGCCAGCATGGGCTACCTGGCAAGTTTAAGGCTAGTCTGGGCTACCTAGTAAGACCCTGTCTTAAAAGAAAAAGAAAAGGACAGTAAGGGAATACTATGAAAAGCTGTATGCCAACAAATTTGATAATTTAGATGAAATGGACAAATTCCTAGAAAGACACAAATTAGTGGAATTGACTCAAGAAGAAATAGAGAAACTGAATAGACATAGTAAACAGTAAATAGTACAGAGATTCAACTAGAAGTCAACAACCTCGAAAACACATGGCTTCCCTGGTGAATTCCACCAAACATCTGAAGACAGAAGGATGGTACTGCACTCCATGGAGATGAGGGAGGGAGGAAGGGCTTGCTGAACGCAGTCTGATCTGTACATCTGCCTTCCTTGAGTCTCATATCCCTTTTCCTGTTTAGTTCCTGGGGATTTCCCTTCCTTTTCTGGGACTTGAGCTAGGGACTTTAAAACTGTGTGTTGTATTTCTCCAGCATCTAGGTATTTGTGGAGTGAGGGTTTTTCAGAATCATTTGTCCACCATGTTGCTAGAGGTATGTGTTGCACATAGGCTAACGTAACAAAGCCAGGTCTTCAACCGAGGTCTGTAGACACCTCTTTTCTCACCACACTGTGCTGCCCGTTAGTGCATGCCCTCCTAGTGCAGGATTTTCCACACTGTTGACCATGACTGTGGTGAGAAATGGAGATCAGTACCTCACAAATTAGTATGTAAAATATGATGTAATTCACAAACTGTTAGTTCTTGCAAGGTGGGGTGCATGCTGACACCTTTTGTTTTGTTTTGTTTTTTCATTGTGGTCATGATCTTGAGTTGACTCTGCAGTCTACCAGAGGGGCACAGCCTGAAGTTTGAAAAACTGACCTAATAAACTTCTGAATCATTTTCTCTCCCTGCTTTTATCTCTTTACAGTAAACTCAATTGAGCTGCCTTCATCTGGCTTATTATGAATTTCTCTGTGGTCTGTGCTCTGAGACCAGCCTTTAGGGTTACCTAGTTCCCTCTTGTAAGCCACACATTTATTAAGCCTGGACTCTAGGTCCATCTACCCCAGTCCCAGGTATTTAGTGCCCAGTTCTTAAAGGAGTGACACCATAGGGCCTCAGCTTAGACAAGTAATTAGCCAAGGGGTGGCCTGGGCATGGGGTGCACTAAGCTTCTCATAGGCCATGAGTCGGAGGACAGACGACTGCATCTGCAGAGGGGTAGATCTGCGTGGGAGGAGAGAGCAAGAGAGTGAAGGACGCTAGTTATTTGCAGTGTATCTCAGCAGAACTGGGAGCCACTGAAGGTCTTTGAGGGAAGTAGTTACAAGATCAGATGGAATTTTCAAGAAAGTTAGTCAAGTCCATTCAACATTTGCTCAATACATGCAAGGCACTTTCTGTATTTCAGGCACTGTTCTAAACCCACCAGTCAGCAGAACAGACATGCATGGAGCTCACGTTCCAGCGGCAGGGTGGGGCTGAGGCAACCCCGCTTATTTAAGCAGTAAGGTGTGTGCCAGGGCATAAGCAAGAGGCAGAAGGGTGAATGGGCCTGGGGGTGACCTACATGGTATGTATCACACAGGGTGCCTGGGGTCAGGAGGCCAGTCAGAGTGACAGGGAGGTAGAGGGGAGGTCTGAGCCCCAGCAGGTGGCAGGGAGAGCAGAGGCTGCCAACCTCACCCTTCTCGTTTCTCCTTTCAGAAACACCATGTTCAACATCCGTGGTAACAAGCAGGCTCAAGGAACAGGCCATGGGTCTCTAGTGGATGAGTTTCCACAGAATGGGGAGCAGCCCTCGGCCTCTGACCCCAGCACCTCAGGTGAGCTTTGTCCACGTGTGAGGTGCTTGCAGACACCAGGCCTTCTGGGCTGGAGTGAGCACCTTCTCCCTCCCCACTGCCAGTGTGTGTGTGTGTGTGTGTGTGTGTGTGTGTGTGTGTATGTGTGTGTGTGTGTGTCTGTCTGTCTGTCTGCCTGTCTGTCTACGTGTCCAAGTGTGTTGTGTCTCCTAGTCGAATTCTGCTGCTATAACAAAATTCCATGGATTGAGCTTAAATGATACACATTTGCTTCATCTTATCCAAGATGAAGTCACTCAGTTAGGAGTCTGTGGAGGGCCCCCTTTCAGGCTTGCAGACAGCCTCCTTCTTGGTGTGTGCTCACATGGCTGAAAGACAGGGCTCTGATCTCTTCCTTTTCTTCTAAGGTATAGATCCTGTCTTGGAGCTCAACCCTCATGCCCTCATCTGGGCATGCACTCTTACTGCTTGAGCCACTGCCAGCTCATGTCCTCACCTAAATCTAATCACCTCCTGAAGGCCTCACTCCTACCATCATCACACGGGGGACTAGGGCTTCAACATGGAATATGAGGGACACAAACATTCAGTCCAGAGCAGTATGTCAAAGATGAAATTCTCCAGATCACTCCTCTTGGTTTCCAGAAGTTGAAGAGCAATTTTTTTTGTAGTAAAATTAGTGCATAACAAAATTTACTCTTTCAAAACCAAGCATGGTAGTATATGCCTGTATTCCCAGCTGTCAGAAGGCTAAGACAGGAGGCTCTTGAGTTTAAGGTCAGCCTGGGTTACAGAGTGAGATCTTGTCTGAAAACACAAAAAGGAAAAAAAATTTTTTTACCATTTTTAAATGACTAGTTCACTGGCAGAGTCCATTCATGTTGTGCAACCATCATCCTCTCCATCTCCATAACTTTTCATCTTTCCCACTGAACTCTTAAAAATGATTCTTGAAGTAATAAAGAAAAACATACTTCTCATTTTTTTCTTTCTTTGTTTTTTTAAGAATGTATGGGGGGCTGGTAGGGAGGCTCAAGCGGTAAGAGTGCCTGCATCGTAAGTGTGAGGCCCTGAGTTCAAGAACACCCCAGTGCTGCCAAAAAAAGAAAGAAAAATATGTATAGTGAAAGGGCATAGAGATGCCTTCCTGGAGTGATTAAAATAGGATCTGCCTGGAACTGTACATCAGGTGACCTTTAGGTGGACAGAGCATGTCATTGTCGGCCCTAACATCAGCGCTTCTCTTGAGCAGGAAAAGAGTCAGTGGATTCTCCCAAACCCGCACCCAAGTCCTCTCTGCCCATCAACCTCACACAGAAAACCAAGCGCCAGAGCAACACCTTCCCGTTCTTCTCCGACGGACTGGCAAGGAGCCGGACTGCCCAAGAGAAGGTGGTAGCTTTGGAGCAGCAGGTGCTGGTGCTCACCAGGGAGTTACAGTCCCAGAAGGTGAGCCACGGACCTGGCCTGGAGGCTTGAGCCCAGTGGGCCCTTGGGCTTGGAGCCTCACAGATAGTTCACTCTGCAGGAGGTTGGAGATACCATGCTGTTGATCACTCAGGGACATACGGTCACTCAAATTGTGTGACAAGAGGCCAACAAAGGCAAGGGTCTCTGGAAACCTATTTTAATAATTGTCTCTTGGACGCCTCTTGTAGAGACACAGTGGTCTGGCCCAACACAGAAGAAAGGCAATATTTGGAGGGGGTGATCTGGAGGCAGGATCTCAGGGAGGGGTGGCCATTAGAACTGGGGGATCTTGGCCCTGAGATGACAGCTGATAACTGGGTGCACATAGCTGAAGAGCAGTGACAGAACAGAGAAAATTAGAAGGGTGTGGCCCCAGGGCTGAGCCAGGACCAACAGAACGGTGACAGTGAGGGAGATTTAGAGCTAACACAGTGAGAGGTTCATCACAGGACTCACAGAAGGAAGAGGTTACATAGGCCTCGTGGAAATGACTCTCACTCAGACAGAGGCATTAAAATTACTCAAAAATGCTACAGTCCAGAGAGTAGATTGTGTTTAAGGCCAGGGGCGGCTACCTCAAAAGGTGGGGAGGGTCAGTGGCATGGATGCAGGGACTTCCACACTGGACAGGAGCTTCTTCTTTAGCACAATGAAAGTGATGGAGGTGGCACAGTTGCTACCCTAAACTCTAGCATGGGACTTTGTGGGGCCTCTGTGGTGATGGGGTCCACTGAGGGCCTAGGCTCCTCTTCCTCTAAGCTTTTGTGTTTGAACATTGACTTCCCTGAGTCCATCCTGGCCCCAGAGGACTCAGGCTGGGGAGGGGGCATGTACTCTGTGTACTGCTGTGCCTTTGCCCCCCCTGTACGTTTCTTCTTGTCTGAAGACAATTCACAAAAGTGCTCTCTCTGCCTGTCTAGTTTTGCCTGTTCTCAGTCTTTCCTGCCCCAAAGCAGTGACCACTGTGAGCAGACCTCAGAGGAACCTAGAGGAGCCAACAGAAGCTTTGTCCCTGGTAGGCCAGGGGCTACATTTAATGAAGTAGCTGGTGGCTGAAGGGGTTCATTCACTCTCACATTCTCAGTTCTTGTGTCGATTCACCAGATTTTCACTGTGGGCTCTGAGGTGCTTGTAGGGTTCTCAGTGCTGGGAAAGAAGGGTGAGGCCATTGGACGCTCCTGAGAGCTGAGCTATATTCAGGTACCTGGCCCTGGACTAGTGTAACTGAAGTCCCATACCTGGAAAGGAAAAGAAGCTGATGATAAACACTGCCGCTCTCCTTCTTTCTAGAAAACGTGGGTTCTCCCCTTGCCCCCAATTAGCCTTTCTTCGTAAGACAGAACAAATTGTCAGATGAGGTTACAAAGCCTGGAGAGGCCTGGATTCACTCAGGTGTGCCCCTACGCTGACTTACCTTTCTTCTATAAAGGAAGGCAGGATTCATGGAGGTTTATAAGGCTGCCAGGTTGTGGACAACTCCTGTTCATGTAGAGGGAAAAGGTCATGAGGAAGTTTCTCCAGTCTTTAAAAGTCTAGATTTCTTTTCTGCGTAACTTCTTAGTAACCTCCGCCCCATGTAGGAAATGGTTGTGGTTTAGCCTTTGACTTGTGGTGTGAGTAGATTCACATTTCTCCCAAGCTGTCTCATGCTTGCTTACCATCTTGGTGGCTCTTGGTACAGGCCTTTGCATGAGACAGCAGACCCAGATTCTGGCCTTGAGGAAGTCTCTGAAACTCTCAGCCTGTTTCTTCTTGGGTGAATGGAGTTACAGCCATGCTTGCCAGAGAGGCTTGTGTATGGATCATAGACCAGGACCTGGGACCCAATAGCTGCCAACAGATGCAGGCTGTGGTCACTTGGCTGTTATTGTGGTGTTCCCAGCCCTCAGTCTTCCTTATGAGAGCCAGTGTCCCCCAAGGGTTGAGGAAGTGGTGAAGTAAGTCTATTGGGACCTCTAGGGGCTCTTATGGGCTACCACAGTGACGTGGGGCTCATGTCTTTATTCACTCCTGCCCCACCAGCTCTGGGGTCACTGGTAGCCTAGGCACCAAAGCCAGAGGGGAAAAAGAACAGGAGATTGACTCCTGGCCTTGAGATGGGGAGAGGAAGGTATGGCAGAGGAGCTAGCTCAGCCTTTGGGTGCCCAGTGGTCCCCAAGCACTTAGAAGTGCTTAGGGGTAGGGTGTGGTGGTACACGCCTATAATCCCAGCTGCTCAGGAGGCAGAGATAGGGAGGATCATGGTTCAAGGCCAGTTTAGGCAAACAGTGAGACCCCATGTGACTAAACTTGGTATGAAACTATAATCCCAGCCACATGGGAGGAATGAGTAGTGGATCGATATCCAAGGTCAGCCCTGGACAAAAGCGCAAGACCCTCTCTGAAAAATAACTAAAGTGAAAAAGGGCTGGGGGCAGGGCTCAAGTGGTAGAGCACCTGCCTAGCAAGTGTGACGCTCTAAATTCAACCCAAGTACCATGAAAAAAGTAAAAGAAAAGAGAAGAGGAAAAGAAAGGAAAACATGCTGAGTGGGGAGCAATTCATCTGAGACTGAGTCCAGCTCATCTGCAGGGAAATAGCCCCTGGCCTTCACAGGGTCACACCTGTGAGATGCTTGCCTGTGTCTCTAGTAGAAGGGTGCCACTAAGAAGAGTGCCACTATATTTTTGCATCTAGCTTGTGGCCATTGCCAGTCACTTCAGTGGCCCTGTGAGAATTTGTATCTGAAACTCTGTTGAGGACCTCACTGTCCGGTGGGGATGGGGCAATCCACACATGCTAATGGCCAGCAGAAGTGACAGGGCCAGATTTCTTGTGCATTAGCCCTGGTTCTCAGGACAGTCCCAGCCTCCTTTTCCTAAAGAAGAAATGGAGGCTCTGAGAGCTTCTCCAGGCCCAGGATCTTCCAGCTGCTGAACCAGGGTTCAGACTGGTCTGTCTGCCTCTGGAGCCTCTGGCCTTTCACTGTGCTGTGCTCCAGAGGCTCAGAGAAGATGGATGGCTTACCTGAGATCACACAACTGGAAGAGTCCTGGTCTTTTCCAGGCCCAGAGCAATGCTCACAGCCCTGGCTGATTCCTGTCCATGATCTCATGGTCTGTTGTCAGACTCAAGCATGGGATTGTTCCCTGGAAAACCTGAGAGCCCTCCCTGTGCCTCCCTGGTGGGATATTGAACCATGGCGACTCTGATACCTACTAAGCCATTATCTGTCCAGGTATAGATAATGGTTTGGACTTCAGGAGATGGTGCCAGATGGCTGACTGGCCAGGTGCCTTGGGTAGTCCAAGCTAACAGAACCACATCCAGTCTGGAGACTGTCTGCTGTGGCAGATGGCAGGCTGTTGTCTAGTGGTAGTGGCCATCTGTTGGCTGCCAGGAAGGTTGGACCCCTCTGGGGCTACCTTAGCTCACTCAAGTTCACTTGGTAAAAGTTTCTAATTTGTCCTGAAAACTTGACTGGGGCAACATGTGGTCCCTTCCCTGGAACTCCAGCCTGAGAGTCAAGAGGACATGTCTCCATGCTGACATCATGGACAGAGGCTGGAGACTCCCTGTTGTGGCTATTTCAGCTTGGGCAGGGCCATTGGCACACATTCTCTCTCATCCTTGAGGCAACTCTGCATGGAGTGGAGCTCTTATCTTTACAGGAAAGAAAGCTGAGGTTCAGTGAAGTGACTGGCCTGATGCCACCCTTGTTAGATAAACTCTTGTGGATCTAGAATGGACATTGTTAGTCTATAATTTGTTACTATAGAGATAAACCCGAGGCAGGCTACTTTATAAAGAAGAAATTTATCTTGACTTACAGTTCAGGAGGTACAAGGTTAAAATGCCACATCTGGGATGGCCTCCTGCAGGCAGCGGTCCAAGGTAATTTAGGGCATTATGCAGCAAAAGACACAGAGTATGTATCTCTTTCTTGAAACCACCAGGACTCAATCATGGAGGCTCCACCCTAATGACTTTATCTAATTCTAATCACCTCCAGAAGGCCCCACCTCCAAATACCCCTTTACTACCTCACAGTGAGGATTAAATTTCATTGCATGAATCACTGGACACACTGAACCCACGTCCACACCAGAGCAGGGTCTGAAGCCTATGTAACTCCACGGCTGGCAAGCCTTCTCCTGACCACCCCTTGGATTCCCCACCTTAACCTCAGTTAGTGATGAGAGTATCAGTGTCTCGGTTGAATAAATTCCAGGCCTGTTGCTTTCTGTGCAGGTCCTGGGGTGGAGAAGAGCCTCCTGGGCTGGTGGCTGGTCTTAAACTTTGAGAGCCAAATGGGGGATGTAGTGAAGTAGCTTTAGAGTTGACTCACACCAAGTGTGGAGGGAGGGAAGCGGGAGAGGGGATCACCACTGCTTTCGTATGTATGTGTATGTGTGTGTGTGATACTGGGGCCTGAACTCAGGGCCTACACCTTGAGCCACTCCACAAGCCCTTTATTGTGAAGGGTTTTTTCAAGATAGGGTCTCACAAACTATTTGCCCGTGCTGGCTTCGAACCTCGATCCTCCTGATCTCTGCCTCCTGAGTAGCTAGGATTACACCCGGCTCACCACTGCTTCTGATCCTAGAGCAAGTCTTAACAGTGGTATCTGTGGCTTTGTCACCAGGCTGTTACCCCAGGTCATCTCCAGATCTCAGCTGAACCAGAAACTGGAATGTTAATCCCTCCACGGAGCCCTAGGAAGCCAGTTTCTTCATTCTGAACATTCCAGACATTCTGCCTTAGTGTGCAGTCACCACCCACTCTACCTTCTGCCACACCCAGGCCTCCCACAGCTGTGAACCTGCTCTTTCATGGCTCCAGGCCTTTCCTCAGGAGGAGCCAAGCCTGCCCACCCTTCCACCTGCTCTTGACCACCTCAAGCCTCCTTCTTCAGAGCTAAATGTAAACTTCCCTACCACTCTGGCTTTTCCCCACTTCCACCAAGGCAGAAGTCATTGCCTACCCTAGCTCTGCTCCACAAACACTATAAATCATTCCATGTTCCATCACAATGGTTCATGGTCGCTTCCACCACCCTTGTAGTCCTGGCAGGTAGGAACTGTGACTGTTCCCTCTCGGGCACTAGTACCTTGCCCAGGGCATGGTGTCAGTGGGTGCTTGATAAAGGTTGGGTGGCCATGGGGGGTGGATGAAACAAGAACCAAAAGGATAGTTACTAGTCCTGAGGTTTCAGAAGAGTCATGCTGATGTGGTCTTGTCATCAGCTTCTCAAAATCATGATTTTGGGTGATTCTCCTCCAAAATGGCATTGAATTTAGCAAATAATCCATAATCCTATCCAGCTGATCCATTTATTGAAATACTTTGGCATGGGTACAGTTGCTGTGGCTCTAGAAGAATTATGTTTTTCCAAGTGAGACCAGTTCAGAGCACAGCTCAGAGCTGTGGCCCAAAGGGCTCTCTCTGCCACATCAACGAGGCACAAGTAGTCAGTCTGCCCAAGGCTCTGGGTGGCTTTGTGTGGGGAGTATCAGAGTCTTTGCTCTCTAATGCTGTCTCAGGGTGGTGTTTGGATGCTATATTGGGAAGGGTTCAGAGGTCTTAACTAGGCTTTGTAGGAAGGCATATCGCGATAACTTAGCAAGATCTGGCCATAGCAGGGACTAGGAGGAATAAGACCTGGAGGGGAGCGGGAGGAGTGAGGAGGTGGCCCAAACAATGTATACACATGCAAGTAAATGTAAAAATGATAAGAATAAAAGAAAGGGTGGGGGAAGAGTGAGGCCCATGTACCACATAGCCGCTCCCTCTGTTTTGTTAGTGAGTAAACTCAGGCTTTGGAGTTCAGATGCTTCAGGACTGAATTCCACTCTGCTCTCCTGGGCCTCAATTTGTTTATCCCAGAAAGGGAGATGTGTAAGTCAGAGAGTTTCAACTGCTGTAATAAAGAAGCCTCCAAGTACTGTGGTCTAAAACAAGTTCAAAGTTTCTCTCTCCCATTGAAGAACCCACACAACAGGTAGCAGCTCTGAGCTGCTGGGGAATGGCGAAGCTCTGCCATCCTCAACATGAACTAAAGCCTGTGTGAGGGCCCAAGTGGTTGCCCTCATTCCCGCCACTTGCTGGGCAGAAGGAAAGGGAACTGGACCCAGGGAGCCTATGTCTAGTGGTTTCAAGGTGACCCAGAGGCTGCCCGTGTCACTGCTTGTTCCCATTTAGGAGGAATAGACTCTCTGCCTCCTCTCCCCACCATGGGCTCACTGGGAAGGGGAGTTTTGAGTAGGAAGTCCTGTACTCAGCTAGCTAGCACCTCAGTTGGACAGAGAAGCTGGAAGTGAGTGTTGACATGGGATGCCCAGGGGCCAGTGACAGCATGTGCTCTTCTGACACCTGTTAGGCCTTCTTCAAGCTCATACCCCCCACCCCCACCCCACCCAGGAGCTGGTGAAGATCCTGCATAAGGCTCTGGAGGCCGCCCAGCAGGAGAAGCGGGCGTCCAGCGCCTATCTGGCGGCGGCTGAGGACAAGGACCGGCTGGAGCTAGTTCGGCACAAGGTGCGGCAGATCGAGGAGTTGGGCCGGCGGGTGGAGGCCCTGGAGCAGGAGCGGGAGCACCTGGTGCACGAGGCTGGCCTGCGGGAGCAGCAGGTGCAGGCGCTGCAACAGCACGTGCAGCTGCTCATGGACAAAAACCAGGCCAAGCAGCAGGTCATCTGCAAGCTGTCTGAGAAGGTCACCCAGGACTTCACCCAGCCCTGTGACCAGCCCCCCAAGGCCCCTGCAGCTGCTGACATGGACTTCCTGAACCAGCAGGAGAGGATGGAGCACTTAAAGGTAGGCTTTCCCCAGGCCCAGCATCCCTCTCCTGTGCCCTGGGAGGTCGCTGCTGATGGTTTTCTGGACATGGAGGGAGGCCATCCTGGAGTATTTGTACTGGAAATAGACGTTGAAGAAAACTTGCTGTCCACTTCCTGACTTGCGGTTGTCGTGTCATCCCCGGCTGCTGAGAAATTGAATGTGTCTGTATCTTGTCAAATTAGAGATGAGAGAGCCCGGGACCAGCCAAGGCTGGGGCCAGGCCTGGACAGCGTCTTTCAATGTCAGTCTGCTGTCCCAGGTGCCTAAGTCACCTCCCACAGCATCCTGCACAGCACAACTGGCCTGCTCTGGTGGTGGTTTGCTGTTTCTTATAGAGTTGATGGAATGCTCACTGTGCTGGCACTGTCCCCAATGCTACACCTGTGTCACCTCATTTCACCCTCACAGCAGCCCTATGAGGCAGTTGCTGTAGGTGGGAGTACAGGTGGGAATGGCAAGGTCAAGAAAGTCACGGCTGTCAGTCAGGGAGCAGACTGGCTTGGAGCTCATGTCTGTTGACCTGCCTGCTCTGTGCCTCCCAGCCCTTCTACCTCCTTGAGGTCCCCCACCTTCCCTGCCTCATCCTACCTTCCCCTGTTCTGTCTTCTTCTCTCTCCCCAGGCCACCCCAGCCTGCAGAGAACAGCTGTGGCACAGGGGTGGGGAACTTTGAGGTGCGATGCCTGCTGTGGGCTGTATCCTCCCCTCTAGAGCTGCCTGACCACCAGGAGGCCTAAGGCTGGGGGTAGGCGCTCTCAGCCCTCACTGCCCCTAAAAGCAGCCATACATATCTAGGCCAGTCTTGCCCCAAATGCTGCTACTCACACCACCTGCATATCCTTGCATATGTATAAGCTTGGGAACTCCGGTGATTGTGGGAGGATGTGGGAAGGAGAACAAGGAATCAGGAAGTTTTTGAGAGAAGCAGCAGGCATGCTGAGCAGCAGTCACTGCCCAAGCTTTGGTGTGAGTCCTGACTCTGCCCCTTGCTAGCTGTGTGGCCTTGGGCAAGTTCTCTCACCTCTGTTAGGAAGCTGCCCTCCACAGGATTGTTAGAAGAATAAAGAAGGAGAACTTGAGACTGCAGTCCCTCCCCTGCCAGCAAAGGCTGAAAAACCACATATGAAGCCAGTCTCAAAATCTCTTATTCATACGAAATCAGAGAGTCTTTGGAGAGAAAATAAACTGAGCCTGCCAAGCACAGGCAAGCTGGCTGGCTAGAAGCCTTTAGCCTGCATCCTGCAGTGGGAATGCTTCCTCAAGCCCTGCCCACTGAGGCTGCCTGTCTCTACCTGTCCTCGGGCATCCACTGTTCAAGGCCCAGTAGAGCAGCTGAATGGCTCCTGACTGTCAAGAGCCACCTGTCCTTACCTCCCCTAGGGCCTAAGTGTGTCCCCAAATTCACACATTTAGGAATGCCAGAGAGCCCAGCTACAAGGAGGCTGTGCATACATCCTCCAAGGCCCAGTGTTTTGTGCTTTAAAGAGTGACATGTACCCGATATTTTTTACATGTGACTTTTAGAAGACCATCAAGTATCCATTGTCTTTAAGATGGCCACATGTGGCCACGTTTTCTGCTGGTCCTATGATTAAGGACTCCCAAGGAAAGTGTCCCTTGTGTTCGAGACTCATCTGAAAACTAGGATCATCAACCTCTTGAATGTCAGAGCTGGAAAGACATGGAAATCTGGTCTATCCTCCTTTGAGCAAGGAGGCTGAGCCATAGGAGAGCTGGGGTCACATAGCATGAGTGGCAGGACTGTGATAGACCCAGGTCTCCCTGTGGAAGTTCAAGGGCCTTGTCAACTGGCATTTCCCACAGAATCGTGGTGCCTGATTGCTGTGAAGCAGCAGCAGCAGCAGGCTTTGTTCTCCTGGCCCCTTCTTCAGCCTGTTTTTCTCTTTTGCTTCACCGGTGACTGTGGCTTTTCTCTTCTCTGAGGTCTTTCTTTTTCCTCCTTACAGTTCTGAGCCAAGGAAAACAATCAAGGTAGGGCACCCCGCTGAATAGCAGGTGTTCATCTTACCACTCCCTACCACTGTTGCCCACGGGGTGCTCACACCCGTGTCCCTACCCAGGTACCTCTGGACCTTTCCTAGAGCTGGAAATGGGTACCCTATGTGACAACAAGCCTTAATTTCAAAGTCTGGGAGACACCATGAGCACCTTCTCGGCCTGGGATGAGGAAGGGGCTGGGAAGGAGGAGACAGGAGCGAGTGTGCTGTGAAATAAGCTGTGAGTGGTGTTGGCTGAGCCCTGCTGTGAGTTTAGTACATTCCCTCCCTGGGTTTGGATCCTGGCTTTCCATACCAGCTGCCTCACTGAGGGCGCTCTCCTTCTAGCTACTTGTTTCCTCATCTGTAAATTGGAGGTGACAGTACTTTAACACTTATCCATAGCACCGTGGTAAAGATTAAATTGTATACATGGTAGCCCTCTAGGACTGTGTATCCGTCCTCCTTGTCTGGGCACTTGCTGCTTCTCCCAGGCATTTGGGGAGAATCCCCATGAGCTGCAGGGAGAAAGGCTCTGTGGACTGAAGGGAGCAGGCAGGAGATGGTAGCTCTTGCATTGTTTGCCCTGGCCTGGGTGGCCACCCTTCTACGCTTTTGCACTAATTAACCAATCAAATCCTACCTGCCACCCCTTAAGATGGGACTGTTGTTATCCTTATCTATCTAAAACAACAGCTTTTCTTGAAAGAAAATCAGAAAATAGTTTATCCAGAGCCAAATATAAGGGACCATGGCCTTGGAACATGGAGTCAGACTTCGCTGCATGATGTGCTACACTGTGGAAGCAGAGTAGTCATAAGCTTTCATAGTCACAAAACACAGTCATAAATCAACGCACTTACCAAGTACCCTGGTGGGAACATCAGGCAGGCCAGCTATATAAGGTGGACAATCTGTCGATGGGTTTCAGATGTCACACGTTCTTAGCGTCAGGGCTGGTGGATGACAGAGGTCTGTGAAGCTTTGCAGTCCATTCTGAGTGTATTTATTAGCGGTGTGTTAGATCAGATACAACAGTTAAGGTAATTGGCTATTAAAGGGCCTAAGATATCCCAGGATAATTTTGGCTGTGGTCTGCAGGGTCTTTAATATAGATGTGGCTTCTTCAGAGAACTTCAGTTCACATCCCCATTTTCCCAGTGAAGGGACAAGACACAACAAAGTTAATGTTTATATCCAGGCAACATGGCATGGACCTTTATAGTCTTATTACACTGCCTGCCCAGCAGGAGTAGGCCCGCAAGCCTGGTTGTGTTAGGCAGGAGACTGCAGAGGACATCCTGGGAGGTCTCAGTGGATTCCAGCTGGGAGCAGGCTCAGAGAGTGACAGGCAGGAGGTGCAGTGGTTTGAAGCCGTTCAGCCTAGACACAGTGAGGGAACTGAGAGCAGGGAGTGGCCAGCTGGAGGGCACCATGGGGACCCCAGTGAAGTGGTGAGGTCACATGAGGGGGCGAGCCTGAGGCATTCATTTCCAGCCACTGGAGCACTGGGACAGAGGGCAGCAGCCTCTGGGCATGGATTAGAAGTTCTGGGCTAGAGGGACCTTGGAGGTCATCTTGGCCAGAGAAGAATACCTGGGGACTGTGCACACATGGCCTTTCTCTAATGGTGAAGTGCCACAGGCTGCAAGTGACACTCTTCATGTCCAGGTCACTCAGGGCCTTTCCGAGGCCAGCTCTATGTTGACACCTCCAGCATTCATAGCCCATTTTCCTGAGCAGGGAAGGAAGGGCATGGGTTTCCCTTAGAAAAACACCGGAATAACCTATGAATAGCTTCTGCAATGTCTTTTTCCAGCAGAATAAAGACCCATGGCTCGAGTCCCTGTGCCAACCTTCCCTGGGCCTGGCCAACCTCGTGTTTACCCCAGCAGCAGTCTCTCTCGCTCCCTGTCTGGATGCACACACAGGGAAAACTCCAGGCACAGATCTATTCGTCATAGCAGTGTTCATAACCACAAACCAACTGAAAACACCCAGGGCTCGAATTTTAAAAGCAATAAAAGATGATAAAAAAATGATGGTTTTTTTTTAAATTAACACCTATTAATCCCAGCTACTGGGAAGTCCAAGGCGAGATCACCAATCTGGGCTACATAGTGAGACCCCATCTCTTATAAGAAAAATAGGAGGTGGGAGGCCAGAGGCATGGCTCAAGTGGTAGTATGCTCATGTAGCAAGTGTGAGGCCCTGATTTCAAACCACAGTATCGCCAAAAAAGGTCGGGGGCAGGGAGTGGGGGGGGGGCGGAGTGGGAGGCTGCTGGGGTGCAGCTCAGTGGTAAAGCAAGCACATGCTTCGCATGCCTCAGCACCAAAAACAGTAATGATGATTGTGGAAACTTATGTAGCAACATGGAATGAAATACTATTTACAAGATGATACTATGTAAATATTTGCAAATATCTGATAAAATGTGTTGATTGAAAACAATAGTACTTGACTCTTGCTGTGTGTTGTCCCTGTACTTAGTGTTAGGTTCCCAGCTGCCTATTGGGGAGTTGGTATTTGCCCTTTTACAGAGGAGGAAACAGAGTTGTTTAAGGGACCTGCCCGGGGCCTCCCAGCTGGAATGTGAGAGCCAGGACTTGAACTCCGGACCCAAGACTCTGCTGGGAGCCAGAGTGAATTTCTCTTTCATACTTCCTTTTCTATGTCATTATTGAGAGTTTCTTAAGGAAGGAAACTTTGGGGCTGGTGGAATGGCTCAAGTGGTAGAGTGCCTGCTTAGCAAGCATGAAGCCCTGAGTTCAAACCCCAAGCACCACTGAAAAAAAAAGGAAGGAAACTTTGTCAACTCATTGGTGGGAGTGACCAGGAAGGTGTTTGGGGTGCAGCTGCTGACACACCTCACTGTCTCCTCCAGGATGATATCGAAGCTTACCGGACCCAGAACCGCTTCCTCAACTCCGAGATCCACCAGGTTTCCAAGATCTGGAGGAAGGTGGCCGAGAAGCAGAAGGCCCTGCTGACGAAGGTGTGAACCCTGGCAGCTACCTCCATGCTCTGCCCCTCCCTGCCCCACATGACTGCCTACTCACTCCTCTCACCTGGCTGCCCCAAGCCCCTAGGGGCAGGGCCTGTCAGCTGCTTCTCCAGCCCTGTGGACAGCTAGGGGGCTACTAGTGAGCCTGGCCACCCCCAGGGAGCAGAGTGGAAGGTCTGGGACCAGTTTGATGTTCTGCTCTCTGCAGAGAATGCTTGAGGAGGCGCCTGGACGTAGGGGACTGTTTGGAGTCTGTGGCACACATCCCTGAGAAGGGGGTCGGTGATAGGACTCTGGAAGCAACCAGCAGAAGACAGGGGGTCAGGGGACCGGGATGAGGCCACAGGCTGGAGACCCTTGGGGCATGGTAGCCTTGGTCCTGAGGTTCTCCTTGTGCCACCCCAGGATGAGATGGGAGCTGGGGCGGGGGGAGCAGAGGTCATGGAAGTGCCATGTGGCTGAGTTTCACTGTCTCCATCTCAGACACAGAATGCAAGACCCAGAGAGGTGACCTGCTCAGCCCAGCCCAGCACCATCTGGCTCATACAAATAGAAACAAGTGGAAAGGAAGGGAGGGGCGTGAAAGAAGGGAAAGCAGCCACGTGGTAGCAGCAGAGGGGCAGGGCAGTGCCCTTCATCACCACCTACAGAACTGGCTATGTGCCCAGTGCTGGGCAGGGCTTTACATACACAACTCACTGATCCTTCCCTGAATCTAAGGAGACTCTGCATCCCTAGTTTACAAATGAAGACTCTGAGGCACACAGCTTAAGTCATTTGCCACAGTCCACACAGCTTGCAGTGGCTAAAGTAAGAGGGGACTGGACTCCCCCATGTTCCTCTCCTTTCGAAGCAGCTCAGTCCTGGTCCTGTCCTCTTTTGCCTCCCTTGTAAGTCACTGGATCCAGGGCCCCTTGGCTTCCCCTATATGCAGGGCCAGGAGAGGACGGGTGGGAGAGGAGAGCTGGAAGGGTCCAAGCTGTTCAGAACTCTGACAGCAGGACCAACATCCCCCTTCCCCTTTTCCCCCCGCCCTACACACACAGTGTGCCTACCTTCAAGCCAGGAACTGCCAGGTGGAAAGCAAGTACCTGGCCAGCCTTCGAAGGCTGCAGGAGGCTGCAGGGGGCGAGGCCAGCGAGGCTAGTGAGTCCTCGGATCTGCTGCGGCAGCTCATCCAGGATGCTCTGCAGTGGGAAGCCAGTGAGGCGTCAGCCGACACTGTGGGGCTAAACCCCATCAGGTGAGTCTAGTGGGTAGCCAGGGTGGGGAATCTCTTCATGACCAAAGATCCCACTGCTGTGTGCTCATACTGCACAGCTGTTACCTCCTTTGGCTCCAGGCACGTGGAGTGTGGTGCCAGCTGAGGGGGCTGGACTCAGAGGAGGCAGCCCAGGTCAAGGTCATCCAGCACATGATTGCAGCTGATGTGGGGCAGCCTCCAGAGCCATCTCTTCTCCACTCCCCAGGCTGCTTGCTGAGCACAGGGCAGGCAGTTAAATACACAGAAAGGGTGTGGCTGTCCTTAAGGCCTCTGGAGGCTGGGTGGCCCAGAGGCAGGAGCCTTGCTATGGAGCCAAACCTGGCTCTCTTACATGTGACCTTGGGCAGGTCACTTCACCATTTTTGTTTCCTACTTGGCCTCTACATGATGTGAGCTAAGTTCTCTGTAGACAGGGAGCATATGCAATGCACACAGAAGGGCAAATACATGTTGGCTAAATGGGAAGCCATCCTAAGGATCTCTCCCATCTCTGCCTTCCTTGTTGCTGTCTGTCCCCATCCATCTTTGAGCTTGCTGGCTGTGCTAAGTGGGGCTCTGCATGAGCATTGGAGACCTATTGGCCTGCGGCTGCATGGAGTACCTGGAAGATCCTGTGCTGGCCCACGATGAGTGCACACTTCCTGGGCTCTGGGTACCAAGCACTTCTAGTTTATATCAGGAGACAGAGCAGGAGTTCCTCTACCCATTGTATGGATGAGCAGAAAGGCTGGGGGGGAACTGGAGTGACAGCCAGGGCACAGCTGGCCCTGGTCCCCCTTGCCTCTAGAACTTTCTAGAGGCAAGTTCTATATGGCATGGCTAACTAATAAGGCCTTTGCCGGCAGTGAGTATGACGAGTACGGCTTCCTGACGGTGCCTGACTACGAGGTGGAAGACCTGAAGCTGCTGGCTAAGATCCAGGCGCTGGAGGTACGCTCCCACCACCTGCTGGCATTGGAGGCCAAGGAGCGACCACTGCAGGAGCGCTGGGCCAACCTGGGTGAGCTCGTGCCCTCGGCCGAGCTGAAGCAGCTGCTGCGGGCAGGCATACCCCGTGAGCACCGGCCACGCGTCTGGAGGTGGCTGGTCCACCTCCGCATCCAGCACCTGCACACTCCTGGCTACTACCAGGAGCTGCTAGGCCGGGGCCAGTCCTGTGAGCACCCTGCTGCCCGCCAGATCGAGCTGGATCTGAACCGGACTTTCCCCAACAACAAGCACTTCAGCTGTCCTACCTCCAGCTTCCCTGACCAGCTCCGCCGGGTGCTACTGGCCTTCTCCTGGCAGAACCCCACCATCGGCTACTGCCAGGGCCTGAACAGGTGAGGCAATGAGGCACAGCCCTCACCTTTCAGCACTGCTCTGACTCTGGGACCTCCCAAGGCCTCACAGACAGATGTGAGCCCAAGAGGCCTGCTCACTCCTTCCCCACCCCCACCACCTCCATGGACAGGTGGGGCCTGGTAGGTGAGGGGACATGCTCCAGAAAGAGCTGGAGCTCAGGGCCTGTACCCTGGTTTGCTCTTGGGAGGGACTGTTGGAGTATAGAACTTGGCCCAGCTCACATTTGGCAAAAACAGCTGGGTCAAGACCATGTGCATAGTGAAACCCACTCAGAGGAGGCAGGAAAAGGGAGTTTGTAAATGGTGCAGGGGAGCTCAGGGAAGCCAGGGAGAAAACAGAGCTGAGGACCAGGTAGCCCTGCACGTTGTAGCACCACACCACCCCCAGGCTGGTGTCCCTGTAGCCTCACTGTGAGTGTTGTCCACTGTGGTGACTGTGCCAAAGCACTATGAAGCCGTGTGGCCTCTGCCTCTCCTTGCTCCACACATCTGTACACCAGCCCCTGTCCACATCTAGGGTCTGTGAGTGGAGACCTTGGCCCCCCTGAACTCATGGGCCTTCAGTGAGTCCTCCCACCCCACCCCTCATGCCCTTAACTCAGTCCGAAGTTCCAGAGATAGAATCCGAATGGCCTAGCCTGGGTTACTTCCCACTTTGGTCCAATCAGCAGGGGATGGAGAGAGAGGTGAGGGCTGAGGATGGGGCCACCTGGTTCATAGGAATGTCCCCTCTAAAACTGGGAGGACTCTCACAAACACTCCATCTATCTCCATAGAAATTGCAGTCTTGAGTATCTCCCAAAGCGGGTTTTGACTCAATTTAAACACACACAGATTCGAGCAAAATTTACATAAGCCACTGTGCTCTCTTTTCAGAATAGCTGGTGTATGACATTTACTTAACAGAGTCAACATTCAGAGTGTTCGCACTTAAATTTGAATGGTTCCCAAAGGTAGATATTTTGAATACTCTTATTTCCAGCCTAAATTTGGGTGATATTGAACATGCATTTGTACAGTTACTGGGAATTCAGAGTTAAACTCCAATAATAACACTTTCAGTCCAAGCCCCTTTGGAAAACTGAGGATTTTGTGCTGCTCTGAATGTCTGTGACAGGTGAGTCTAGAAATTCCATTTGTGTGTTGATAGCCCAGTAAAAACTGTGTACTTCTCATCGAGTTAGAATCTAGAAGGGACAAAACTCTTAAAACCTCTTTAAAGAGTAGCTGTGAAGGGAGCTAGAAGCTTGAGGTTAGCAGGAATCATGTTTTACATTTTGAGCAGAGGTTAGGCAGGAAGTAACACTCACTGTCACACCATACTCCCCAGGAAGGAACCTGCCTAAGCGCTTACCCTGGACTCTGGCTCCATGCCCAAGGTGCTGCAGCCCACCCACCCTTGCTCCAAGTGGGAACTGGGTGCTAAGCCACCTTCCTGATCAGATGTGACTTCTGGAGACCAGGATAGGGTTAGCCCCAGACATGCTGTGGTGCTGTGGAGTTCAAACTGGGCTAAAGGGGCAGCAAGAGGTCCTGTAGCAGCAGGGTCTTGAGACTGGCCTCACAGGTGGAGGTGGCAGTACAGGCCACAGAAGGCACATGGGGACAACGGAGCCATAGTGACCGGGGGTGATTTTTTAATATCTTTCTCTATGTTATTTTTATTTAAATTTGATATGCAAGCACACATAACTGGTATCCATGCAAATATTTTACTGTCATGGTAAATGGAAAGTTGTGTATAAAAGGACGAGATGGCTAGAGTATGGACAGGATGGTGTATTCTTTTGTAGTCCCTTAGTTAAGCTGTAGGTCCCTTACCCTTGTCTGTGTTGCCATCTAGTGGTAGCCATAAAGAGTGGCAGCCGTTACAGCTGCATCTTTTGTGTCAAGATAAAACAGGTCCTGCTTCCAAGGTAACAAATGCAGCCTGTTTAGATGGTGATGTAGTGACAGTCTAATGCCAGTTTAGTGACAACATTTTTAAAGCCATTTCCTTGTGAAAATAAGTGGATTGCTTTAAAAGTGGTCTGTTCTTTACCCCCTGAACATACTCCCTCCTCTGCAGGCCTACTCAGGCTGAGGTTGGAGTCCAGCCATAGTCTGAGCAGTTAGTGAGCTTGAGGGGGACTTTTGAATGTGTGCAGCAGCTCCTGCACTGAGATGTCAAGGCTCTGGTGGAATGGGGCGGAGCAGGGTGGAAAGGACACCAGGCTGGACTTTGGGAATCCTGGGTCCTGTTCACACTTTGCCATCAACCAATTACATGGTCTTGAGCCTAGAGACAAGGTGGCAGAGTACCGCGGTCAATTAGTTACATCTGTGCTGGGCATAGACACCAAGGGTGGAGGTTTGATGGGCCACACATCTGCTGTCCTTGAGCTCAGTGACATCTGAAAACCTGCCCCGTCCACCCCCAATCTCTGAGAGGGCAGAGCCTCCTATTTCCCAGGGGACCCGTGACTGCTCTCTTCTTCCACTCAGCTCAGACTCAGGAGGATTTGTAGAAACATCTAAGCCAGAGCAGGGGTGGAGGGATTTCTTCTCAACCTGCTGGGAGAGAAGAAGACTTGTCTGTTTTTCTTTGAGAATCAGCCCTGTGTCTAAATGTCATGACCCTCAGAAGAAGGTGGAGGTCATGGATCCAGTAGGATGCAAGAAGCACAAATAGCTAGACAATGAAATTCACTCTTTAAAGGCTCTGTGACTCTGTGGAGAATCTGTGGCTTGCAGTGCTAAGGCGCCCTCTCCTTCAGGGTACTCTGAGAAGTGCTGCTTCCCCAGCCATGTGGGTACAATGTACAAAAGGGGCTCCACAGTCCTGGGACAGCCTTGTATCAGAGTCACACAGGGTCTTGTTGCTGCAGGGTTTCCCTGAGGCATTACTGGTTTAGTGAGCATGGCAAGCCTCCCCAGGTGTCTTTGAACATCAGGCCTGTGTAAACCTACCATCTTGAGACCAGAGAATCCATGGAAGACATTTTGGGGGTGTATTCTTGGATTGGCTCTAGATGTGACTTGCCTAGGAAGATGGGAGACATAGAGCAATGGTACTTCTCACAGGAAGACATCCCTGCTCAGTCCTGTGGGTTTTGTCTTTCTTACCCATGATCTCAGTTGTGCCTCATAATCTGAGAGGAGAGTGGTCCGGGAGAAGAAGCTCTGTGCTGAGCACTGGTGTGAGTGAGACAGTGGGCGGGGCCCTGAGGCCTGGGTTCTCACCCACTGCATGTTTATTGCTCTCACTTAACAAGAGCAGGAACTGAGCCTCAGAGGTTAGTGTACTTGCCAGGGCCCCAAAGCTTATGATTCTGAAGGTGGGACAGCTAGCATTTATTAAGTGCTCACTATGTGCCAGGTACTGGGCGGGGCACCGAATCTGTTAGCTGTTCACTCTCATACAGCCCTATGCTGATTGCAAGGCTGAGGCTGCCTGGTGTCACCCAGGAAGCAGCAAGACCAGGATTGATGCCCAGGTAAACTGACTCCAAACCCCTGCTCTGAAGTGGTTGCCCATGCTCTGGAAATCACATGGTCACCTTCCCTAAAAGAGTGTCTTCCCTCAGGCACCAGGACCACCAGGCTGGTTAGGGAAGGGGACTGGACTGGGGTGAGTGTAGGAGGATTCTGCCCTGCAACCCAGGGAGCTGCCTCTGCCACCAGCTGCCTGGCAGGGCTGTGTCTACTGTGAGTCACACCAGGCCTCTCCCTCTACCCAGACTGGCAGCCATCGCCCTGCTAGTCCTGGAGGACGAAGAGAGTGCCTTCTGGTGCCTGGTGGCTGTCGTGGAGACCATCCTGCCGGCCGACTATTATAGCAAGACGCTGACAGCATCCCAGGTGAGCCAGGAAGAAGGGATGGGACATAAATGTCAGAAAAAGTGGAATCTCCCAGGTCTACCCCTCTCTGGGACTGCTGAGTGCCTATTTTGTCGTTGGGGCTCTGCCCACGTGACAGATTGGTGTTAGTGCAGTGGTCAAAGAAACCCAGTGTCACCTGCAGGGCTAGAAGCCCTAAAGCAAAAAGGGGTTGGAGGTGTGGCTAAAGAGGTAGAGCACCCACCTAGCAAGCACAAGGCCCTGAATTCAAATCCCAGGACTGCCAAAAAATTTCAGACAGCAGGTTAGCCAGATGGGAGGTAGGCTGGAAAACGGAGGCAATGTCGCAATCCTGCACATGCCTCACCTCCCACTGAGATGCTCCGTGTCACCGTCCCTCCTGCTGCCCTCTGGTCCTGGAATCAGGTAAGTAGGCTTCTGAGCCCTGACCAGCCGTGTGACCTTGGCTGGTGATATCACTTCTCTGAACTCCAGGATTGCCCACTTTAGAATGGAAATAAAGTTTCCTCAAGGGTTTGCAAAAAGATATAAATGCAAAGTTATTTCCAGCACACTACCCACTATCCCATCCCCCAGCCTCACTTCTTGCTGGTCAGCCCATCTGCTCTGCATAGGCTTCACTTCCCTCCTACCTCCAAACCTGGTGAGCTGTTGTCTGCCCAACCCCTTCCCTCCTGTCGTACTGCCAGCATCTATCCCCATGCCCATTCCTGGTCCTTGGCTGTCCTCCTGGGCAACACCAAGGGCAGAAAGCAAGCCTTGGCATCATCAGAGGCTGGCAGCCACCACCTGACAAGAGCTGAGAAAAATGATGCCATTGCCAGTTAAGCCTCTCGTAGGCTGACATCCCTTCCCCATAGCCAAATGCATTCCTCACCTGACCCTGGAAAGTCTTCCCTGAGGAAGAGGCTGAGCAGCCACAGTTCTAGGCAGGGAGGAGCAAGAAGAGAGAAAAATCCGGTCAGCACAGAGGTAGGAAGAAACATCACCAACCACATCTTGGAGCCAGGGAAGGAGCCGGAGCTGGGATAACCAGCCAGGTCCGGTGGAACAAGGATGGAGGCATGGCATGACCTCCAGGAGGTCACCGGCAGCCATTTCCTGCAGCGTCCTACTGGCTGAGCTTCCTGGAGTCCAGTGTGGTGGGATGTTGTGGCATTAGGCCTGGACATAGGTGCAGGAAGCAGCCATGAGTGTCACCAGGAATGAAGCCCCTGTGTCCCCAGGACTTGTGTGCATAAGCTCAGTGTCTGCCACCTGCCAGAAGGGCCAGCTGGGCTTGAGGTTCAGGTGGGCCAAGGGACCAAAGACTTACTTTTCAAAGACTTTTGCTACAGAGCCCGGTGCTCCAAATTTGTGTTGAAAGCAGCTGATGACATGCTATACTCACCTGTTTCCCAGGTGCTCAGAGCTTTCTGGGCAAGGCAGGCCCCACCTGTCAGCCTCAGTACTGTTGTGTGACTTGACAGGGTTTGAGGGCAAGCAGGGAGGCTCCTGGCAGTTGCTTCCTGGGGTGCAGGTGACAGACCCCCCCCCCCAATTGCCTTCCAGGTGGACCAGCGGGTGCTGCAGGACCTCCTCTCAGAGAAGATGCCCCGGCTCATGTCCCACCTGGGGCAGCACCGCGTGGACCTCTCCCTTATCACCTTCAACTGGTTCCTCGTGGTCTTTGCAGACAGTCTCATCAGTGACATTCTCCTGCGGGTCTGGGATGCCTTCCTGTATGAAGGGACCAAGGTAAGTGCTGTGGCCAAGCCAGCCCCTTCACTCCCAGTCTTGATTCTGCAGTGGGAGAGCCAGAGGTGATGCCCTGTCAGGGCTGTAGGGCAGCTGACAGTACAGCTTTGTAAACTGTAAAGTGCTGTGCACATAGGAGATGAAGCAGGGTTCTGCTCTGAAGAGCGCCCAGAAGCTGGGGTCTCCTGTTTGGACAAAGCCCTGCAGTGGGAGCTGGACCTTGGGACTGGGCCAACCCCTGGGCAGGCAGAGCCTCACTAAAGCCCTGAGTAAAAACCAGTATTGAGCTCACTGAGCCCATGGAGCAATGTCTGTCCTGCCTTATCATGGGAGAAGTCCAGTGGTAGACCTGGGATCCAGTCTAAATGACTAGATTTCAGCTGTGCCCACCTTGGGGTGTTCAGCCTTCCCTTCCCCTCTGGCCATCCCCACATTGGGCCTCTGGATCTCGTTCCTCTGAGGAGTGCCTGCCTGGCCTCCCCCACCTCACCCAGGCTCCACTGTACCCAGGTGGTGTTCCGCTATGCCCTGGCCATTTTCAAGTACAACGAGGAGGGGATCCTGCAGCTGCAGGATGGCCTGGAGATCTACCAGTACCTACGCTTCTTCACCAAGACCATCTGTGACAGCCGGTGAGTCCCCGCTGGCCCCTCTGCCACCCTACCCCATGTATCCCTGCGACAGGGGTCAGGTGGCTACTGTGTGCCAGGGGACATTCTGCTGTCCCCATGCCACTGCCCCTCACATGACACTTGAGCTCTCTAGGCCTCTCAGCTCGCCCACCTTATCCTATGTGAGCACCCAGGGTCTATGTCCTAGGAATTCTTAATAATTCCTAGGACACGCCACCTACTGAAAAAAGCCTCCTGACCACCTCCTCCTCTACCACCATCTTAAAACTCAGTCCCATGTCACCTCCTCCAGGAAGCCTTCCATGACACACCCTTCTGGGCTATGTGCCCTGCTGAGCTCTTTCCTGCACCATTACTTTTGAATGAGAATGTTTTCTTATTCACTGTCTCCCCTGGAAGGGGAGCTGCTGAAGGCAGGGACCAGAGCCATGCCCCAGTGTCTGGAAAGGCCTGGTCCCTACAGACTGGCACAACCCTGATCTCTGCTGACCGGGTCCTCCTCCAGGAAGCTCATGAATATCGCCTTCAGCGACATGAACCCCTTTCCCATGAAGCAGCTGCGGCAGCTGCGGGCAGCCCACCGGGAGCGGCTGGAGGCTGAGCTGCGGGAGCTGGAGCAACTGAAGGCTGAGTACTTGGAAAGGCGAGCGTCCTGGGGCAGAGCGGTGCCAGAGGGCTGTGCCAGCGAGGAGGATGGGGAAGGGGATGCCTGACCAGGCCCCTCACCTTGCCTCCCAAAGCCTTTCTCATCTTGGCAAGCAGGCCCCCTGGAGGTCAGGGCTGGAACAGCAGTCCAACCCTTGGAGCCCCGTTCTGTGCCAGCCTGGAACCGGCTCTTCCCCGTCTTGGGCGTAGGTCTTCCCAGGTGGACTTTGCTGTGAAGACATTGGCTGGCACTTAACCCAGTGACGCTGCACCTGTCACCTCCCCCGTGGAGCACCTTGGCATGCAGGCCAGGCGAGAGTGCACTCTGTGGGGTCCCCTGGAACATTCTCTTAAGTATCTCATAAATGAATGTCACTGTTGGAAACAGCTCACAGCTTTGTTTTGTTGGGTTTTGGTGGCACTGGGGTTTGACCTCAGGGTCTCATGCTTTGCTAGGCAGGCACTATTACCACCAGCCTGAGCTCACAGCTTTGGACCTTAAACATTCAGTTACCAGTTGTGCCTGGGTGGGTCAAGGTGCCAGGCAGGCTATGCCACCATTGAGGCCTCCATCCCGGGACCTTAGCTGCCATTTCTGTGGGTGTCTTCAGTGCCTGCATTTTCAGGGTGTTTGTCTCTGGGTTAGCAGCTCCCCTGTGGTATCATTGGGTCTGTGTACTGGGACCCATCTCCAGAGCCTGCTCACAGCTCTTTGGGGGAGAGGGGTTCCCCTGGGGAAGCCACAAGGACCATGGTGGGCTGGGCAGTGATCACTGAGCCTGGCACCCTCTGGGGGCTCCCCACAGGCTGGGCCAGCATGGTCTGTTCTACTAACAGGTGTGGGAGGGTAGAGCACAGGCCAGTGCAGCTGCAGCTCAGCACAGGGCTGATTCAGGACTCTGTGACCCTACCCAGCACAAGTTCCGGACTCTTCCTGGTCCTTTTGAGCAGACCACCCCACCTCCGTCCCCCAAACCAGAGTCAAGGGGGCACAAGTGGTTTCAGTGACTTGTTTCTCAGTAATCCTGTGGCTGCCAGTGGAGCCTGAGTGCACCCTTCTGTGGGTGAGGGTGGGGTGGATCTGTGTGGAGGCCCCTTCAGAAGCCCGCAAGCTTGCAGGGAGCAGCCTCCTCATACCCAGCTTCAGTGGAGGCTCCTGCCCAGGACTGGGCCATGCCCATCCCCTCGATGCCCAGGCAGCCCCTCCTGTAGCCCCAGACTCTGGGGTCCCCGCAAGCACTCTGCACAGGGACCTGCCTGCCTTTCTCATTTTTTGTTCAACTTTTTGCATCTGCTAAGGACCTTCCACCACCAGACAGTTTCCATGGAGGTGGGGGGGGCGGTCCTAGCTGCACCCCACTGGCTAGACATTGTAACCCTAAGGTCATTACTGTGCTGACCCAAGGAGCCAGCCCATGGGAGCCAATACAGTAAAGAGTACCCAGTGCACTGAGTGGCTGTCCTCCAGATACAGCTGGGAGGATCCAAGACCTCTGACCCCAGCCTGAAATTCATACTACTTCTGCAGCAAAAACAACCAAAAAACAAAAAACACCAGGTCAAGCAGTGGGCACAGGGCTGCTGGATAAATAGCAGACACCTGCTGTCCCATCTACCCTTCCTTCTCCTTCTTCCCTCCCCCTCCTTCCTTCCTCCTCCCTCTCCATCCTTCTTCCCCCTTTTCTCTTCTGTTCCTTCCTCTCTCCCCTCTTCCTCCCCCTACCCCTCTTCCCCTCATCAACCCCCAGCAGAGGAGGGCTCTGCTCAGAGCTGGGTGCCTGTGGTCTTCCCTTCCTGGAGGGACAGGTGGCAGCTCTTTGTCACCTCTAATTCCTACCTGACTGCCCTTCAAATTCTGAGTAGCTTTACTAAAATACTGGTACAGGGCCCCATGCTCAGAGGCTTCTGTGGAGCCCTGGCTTTCTGGGATGGTTGGGGACCACGTGACAGTGGGGACTAACTGCCTCCTCCAGCCCTGAAGGGGGAGAACTATCCATCCTTCAGCCCCTACTCGCCCAGGACAGGCTTAGGTGACAGATGAGTACACAGGACACAGAGACATTAATGTGTCCAAAGTCACAGTCAGGGGAGGCTGGCCTGCCTATGTCCTCCTGTGAGGTCCTATATGGGGCTACCTATAGGCGAAGGAGAACAGGCTGGGTGTGCTGATAATCCCAGCACTAGAGAGGACTGGGAATTCTAGGCTGGCCAGAGCTACATAGTAAGACCCTGTCTCTAAACAAAATAAAAAAGGAAAACAGGAAGAAGCGCTTCCAAATTTTAGATCAGAGATGACAAAGGGGAGTGGGATACCATATGAGAGAGCATTGAGGGGGGTCACCAGGAGGCCTTCTGGGCCTGCTGCTGCTGCTCCAAGGGAGCCTGCCCCCCTCCTCCATGGACAGCCTCTGGGCCCACCCCTGGTGTCAGGTTCCTGGCCCCGCACCACAGCTGTCACCCCTTCCCCAGGGGCTGCTGCCTTCCAGGCTGAGTGATCCAATCCCCACAGCCTCCCTTCTTACCCCAGGGTGGAGAAAGGACTTCCTGTTTCAAGCATCCCTACCTTGGCCTTGAGATGTAGCCCCATTCTACAGGGGAGGAAGAGCTCCCCAGGGAAGCTCCCTGAAGAATAGAGGGAATAAAAGATGCTGGGAGTCCCCCACAGTCCAGATGGGAGGGGCACACTCCTTTCTACCCACTGCCCATGTTCAAGGTTTCCATCCCAATAGCACCTCACCCCCACTGTCTTCTCTTTGTCTCTCAGCTCCCTCCACCATGGACACAGGGCCATGGGGGCAGGTAGAAGGAGATGGTGCCACTTGCATACACAACACACACACACGCAAAGTTCTGAGCAAGCTGTTGACCCATGTGTGGTAGAGTAAACAAAGCTGGACATGCCTGTGGCCTGAGAAGAAGGGGAGGCCTCCTGGCCTGCCCTAGTCAGCATTAAGGGCCACAAGAAGGGCTGATAGATGCCCCAGTTTTGAGCCAGACATGCTGTGTGGCCTCCTAACTAAGCCCTGGGTAGCTCATGGGCCTGGTCAGTCCTCAGTTTCCCTATGTGTGTAATTCATATGGTTGGGGGCAGCCATCCATGCTGGATCAGGATCAGGATTAGGGGGAGGGGAGGGGCAGAGGAGGCGTCTGCATGCACTTAAGCATGGACGCTCGCGAGCGCACAGACACACACAGTGACCCCCTACAAAGTCCCAGGCCTCCCCTCTGGCTTGTGGGTCCATACACCCACAGTCCCCAGAGTGGTCTCTGTCAAACCAGCCTTTCCCCAGACTGTTCCAGTCACCATCCCCATCACACAGGCTGAGGAGATGCAGATGCAAGGCTGGTATGTGCACAGGGCATCTGGGAGGGCCAGGCCCGGCCCAGAGAGCGTGATTGGTTAGGTAGGCACAGGATGATTGAAGAAGAGCCTTCTAAGCAGAGGGAATGGTGTGAGCAGAGGCTCAGGAGTGTGGGTGCAAGGAGAGCGGCAGCAGAGATCCTGGCTCAAACCCTGAGTAAGTGAAGACATTCAGATGCCTGGGAGAGGTACCCCTCCACCCAGGTGTAAGTACCCAGAATTCTCACAACAGGCCGAGTGTCCATATGCTCTCTGGAAACTGAGAAGGCCCAACTCTTGTGTGCAGTTATCCCAGGGCGATGGCCTCTCGCCGCCTGGCTTAGGAGTACAGGGGGTAAGGTGGGGGACTCTGAGGGCCATGCTAAACACTGGGCTCTGACACATGGGAACCCTGCCTACCTGGCTTGGGAAGTGGTCCAGCACACTGTGAGTTCAGAGTAAAATAGATGTGTGTGAGGTAATGTGCATAAGGTGCTTAGAACAGAGGCTGGTGGTGTAATCCCTAAAGGCGGGGCCTCCCATCTCCCGCTGACAACCCAAGTGTCCCCCCAGAAGTCGAAGCTGGCGAGAGTGGGCAGCAGCGCCCTCTCCTGGCAGCCGAGGGAAGGAGGCGTCTCTCCAGATACGCAGCAGCCCTCCTGGCTCCCGTGCTCCCCGGGGCCTGGGGATCCTCAGTAGCCCCCTAACTGCCCGGGTGCTGGGAGCACGTTCCCAAAGCGGCTCTACGCTCGCGCGGGCCGGGCCGCAATGTGATGTCATCCTCACACAGCCGGCGTGGTACTATCTCCATTTCACCAAGGGGGAGACTGAGACTCGGGGAGGTCGCGCCCCTTGCTCCGCAGCGAAGGGACGGTGGCTGGGGCGGGGGTCGCACCCAGGCAGTCTGATGGTGCCACTCCCTTTCAGACTCCAGCCGCCCACCCCAATCCTGCGGCGTGTGCGCGCCCGTGTGCGCGCCGGCTCCGTGCGCGTGTGCGTGCCCGACACCCGCCCCGTGGCCAGGAGCGCGGCGGGCGGGGCGCGCGAAGGAACGAGCAGGCGGGCGAGGGGCCCAGCCCCGCCCCGCTCCCAGGCCCGCCCTGCCCGGGCCCCGCCCCCAGGGCCTTGCGGGGAGGGGGGAGGGGGAGGTGGCGGCGCTGGGCGCCGGGGACTCAGCTGGTGGCGCGGAGCGCAGAGCGGGAGCCGGACGCCGCCACCGCCGCCACCTGTGCGGCCGCCAGCAAGGTAGGGGACGCGGGCCGCGCCCCCGCGGGCTGCGCCATGGGGCGTCGCGTCGGGCGGGACGTGCGCGCTGCGCCCCCGCTGCAGCTCTGGAGAGGGAGGGATGCTGGGCTCCGCACGCCTCGGGAACCCGGCGGGGCGCGGGGACCTAAGCTTCCAGTCCCCCACGCGTGACCTTGCACAAAGCCTTGCTGCTCTCTGGGCCTCAGTTTCCCCTCCCGGATAGCGGGCGCAATGTGGCCCCTCTTCGGCGGGTGACTGGGAGCGGCCGCCCCAAGGTGCGGGCTCTCGACGGGGCGATGGGCACAGTCTGCATCGCCCGCCCCGCCCGCCGCGGTGAGGCGGTGAGGCGGCTCGCCCTGGGCGCGGCCAGCTGGTCCCGGCAGGCCCTTTGTGCCTGGGTGCCCCACGGGAGCTCTGTTGTGACCCTCCCTCTCCTTGCTGGGTGGCCGGCTGGGCCTCAGCTTCCCGGTACGGAAACCGGTGGGGAGAAGCATCCCCGGGTCCCTGGGGCGGGCAGAGTGTGCCTACCAAGACTGGCCTAGGCGGAGGCTGGAGGAGCCCTGGACTGGCGGTGACCAGACCCACGCAGACAGTCACCTGTATTTAGGGGAAGGATAGGACCGCCTGGTCATGCTCGGCTAGCCGCGGAAACCCACTTCTGTGCAACAGCAGGGTGTGACAGGGCTGAGTGCCACACCTGCACCTCTGAGTGCCAGGAGGACCGTGTCTGCATGGTTCTAAGCTCTCTGGATAAGAGCCTCTGGTGTCAGGCGTGGCCCCTCTGTAAAATCCCCTGAAAGGACTTGCTGGCCCATTGCACTTCTGACATGGTGATCTCACTTGTTGAAACAAAGCTGGAATCCGCCCCTCTGCCCCTCTGGCTGGTCCTGCAGACAGCATCAGACTTCCCCTTCTGGGGACAGTGATCAAGTTCCTTAAACCTGCTTACCCTCATGGTGGAACAGCCAGGCTGAGCAGTGTCCCTGGTCAGAGCAAAAGCAGCAAAGGCAAGAAGAGGGGCTGAGGTGTCACCACGGAGTGCATTTCTGAGCACCTTCCAGGGGCTCCTTCTGAGCCCACCTGTGCCATTGGGCCCCTGAGGTTCCCCCACCTCCTCATAGCTCTTGGGGGTCCTGGAGTGAGAGGAGGAGCCAGGCCCTTCTCCAGGCCCTTCCTGCCGTGCATGGGCTTCTTCTCAGCTTCCTGACACCTGCTCCCATTAAGTCACCTGGTCTCTCTTGTCGTCCCCCCGCCACGGTCTACCCCTCACCCAGGGCTACAAGAAGGGAGGGGACCCTGGGCAAGTGTGAGTCCTGTGTCATCTTCTGTGTTCAAGCAGAGGCTGGATGAGCATTTGTGGGGGATGATGGGATTCCAGAGCTGAAGCAAAGTGATCATGACCTTGCCCTGTGGCCCAGGGCTGCACAGGACTTGAAGCTGTACCAAAGATGAGTGTTATTATCGCCTCATAAAAGCAGACTAAGTACACATGCTGCAGGAGCCTGGCTCCAGTGCACAGGCCTAAGTGCTACCTGAGTCCCCTGTCATCTGCACACGGGTGACACCTGGGCCTAGTTGGGTCATGTCATTGTGGGCTGATGTAGGAGCTGGCAGGTTCTGATTTATTAAAGTCATCCTGTATTGATACTTTCACGGTGTGCCATGGAATTGTGAATTATCTGACCTGAAAAGGATCTTAAGAAATGTCTCAGGCCTGCGGAGTGGCTCAGGTGGTAGAGCACCTGCCTAGCAAGTGTGAGGCCCTGAGTTCAAACCCCGGTACTGCCAAAAAAAAGAAAAAAAAAAAAAGACTGTCTCATCCAACCTCTTATTTTATAGCTAGTCATACCCTGTTCCTGGAGAGAATGTGACTGGGCAGGGCCTTGGGCATGCTAGACAAGTAAGTGTTCTACCACTGAGCTGCAGCCCCAGCCCCAGGTTTTAAAAACCCATGTAATAAAGCAGTCTGTATTATTTCTATAAAACTAGCAAAAATAAACATAAGCTGGGCACTAGTGACTCACGCCTATAATCCTAGCTACTCAAGAGGCAGAGATCAAGAGGATTGAGGTTCGAAGCCAGACCGGGTAAATAGTTCTTGAGACCTTATCTCAAGAAAATCCATTACTAAAAAAGGGCTGGAGTGGCTCAAGGTGCAGGCCCTGAGTTCAAGCCCCAGTACCACACACAAAAAATATAGATAAATAAAATAAAGTAAACATGAATGGGTAGAACTTTGCTGGCAAGTCTGCAGGGATTCACTGTAGCATTGAATGTCAGGGGTAACCTACATCCCTGAAGAAACGTCTGTGAAAACCCTGCCTGCCCTTTGCACCTAGACTTTTTCCTTCAGGGACTTTACCCCAAGGAAGTAACTAGAGAGTAGGAGAGAGAGGGATGCAGGCAGTGCTGTTATCTGTTAGAAGCTATCTTCCAGTGAAAACCTCTCACTGTGTTATCTGAGGTTGGTGTAGAAGCAGTAATCTAGACTAAAGGGAGACTGCCGTGTGCAGGCACAGATTCCAGGAAGTGCTCCCTCTGCCCCCAGGTGTGAGCCTGGGTTGGCCCCTCCCCTCGCTGGGCCTCACTTTCCCCATCTGTGGAATGGGTTCTTTTCAAGAACCTGGAGCACCAGCACCATGCCTCAGGGCCCTAGGTTATTTTCAGCTGGAGCCTGGCCTCTTCAGATCAGGGAGGAGGCACTTGGAATCACCCATGGGAAGGGCCTGGTAGCCTTGCACTGCTGACCAGACATTTTTCTGGTGGCCCATGCAGGGCCCTGAGGTGTCTCCCCGGGAGGCCTACACAGTGCTGTGGGAAACATGTTACAATAAACCATGCAAAACGGCCAATATCCGACCATGTTTTTGACTCACAGAAAAATGGTAATTTCACTTGGTTTGGCGTAAGTGGAAAAAGGTATCATTAAAGATGTAATTACTGTCCCTCAGTGTAATTGGGCTTGAACAGGGTGCAGTGAGGCCCGGGAGGGTGTGATTGTGAGCTTGAGGAAGTCAAGGGGGCAGGGCCTTGAAGAATCAATAATAATGGGCTTGAATACTTGCCCCCTGCCTTCTTCCGTTCTAAGGGCTTTGTACTGTTCTTTCATTTAGCAATTTACTAAGCACCTCCATTGTGCTAGGCATTTTCTAGGTCCTGATACACAAAACAAGTCCAAAAGGTACACCCTGAAGGAGCAGATAGGGCTGAAAAGATTAATGAGATAAACAGCCACAGGTTTTTATCCTCACAGACGGCATGTGAGGGCGATGGAAAGAGGGGCTGCAGTTTTAAATAAGGTGGTCTGGAGGGCTCATTGAGAAGGTGACTTGGGCACAAGCTTGAAGGACTAAGCTGGGCTGACTTCTGAGGAAGAGTAAAGAGGTTGAGGGACAGCAGTGCAAAGGCCCTGAAGTCTAACCATGCCTGGAAGAGCAGGCTAGCACAGAGTAAGGGAGGAAGGCAGCCCGAGAGGCCCTCATCCAGACTGTCTAACCCCACCCGCATCTCCCCATCCAGCATGGTTTGTGAGGGTTGTACTATTTTTATCTCTTTTTCGGTTAAGGAAACTGTGTCACTAGAGGTGAGGAACTGTGTGTCACTGAGAAGCTAGGCAGAGCTTTTAGTCCAGGGCAATGGGACTGGAAGGCTTTTGTATGGGGCAAGGGTATGGATGGCCAAATTTGAACGTTAGAGCGATCACTCTGAGGTTGCTGTGGCTTGGATATTTGTGTCCCTCTCAAATTCTTTTGTTGAAATCTTAACAAATGATGGTGATGCTGGGGTGGGGGAGACCATCATTCAAGAAGATGGGCTCCTCTAAAGTAATTAATACCCTTGTAAAAGAGGACCCAGAGGCACGACCCCACACACGTTCTACTACACAAGGACAGGGAGCAGGCCCTCCCCAGACACTGTGTCTCATCTTGGCCCTTGAGCCTCCAGCGTTGTGAGAAAAAGATGTCCCTGTGTCTGCAAGCCCTCAGGTCAGGGCATTTCTGCATAGCAGAACAAAGGCCGTGGAAATAATCCAGGCCCAGGGTGCTGGGAGGGGGCTGGACCATGACCTCTGGTGAGGAACTGCTGAACTGGGCCAGGGAGCTGAGAGGCGCAAGCCTAGCCGGTTGATGCAAACTCAGATTAGCACTTCACGCTCTGCGAAGTCTAAGACTTTGCATGTGTGGACCCACTCAATCCTCACAAAAAATTATAGGACGGTTACTGTTATTTGCTAGTTTCTATTACTATTACCATTTCCCTTTATTTGTTATTATTTTATTTTTGGTTTTTGAGACAGGGTCTTGTTATGTAGCCCAGGCTGATCCTGAACTCGAAATCTTCCTGCCTTTTAGACTCCCAAGTAGCTGGGATTTCAGGGGTGCACCACCATGTCTGGCTTATTACCTCACCTGTCCCCCCACCCTTTTTTTTTTTTTAGAACTGGATATTGAACTCAGGACAAGTATATCAGACAAGGGTTCTACCACTTGAGCTTCGTACACACACGTGCGCGTGCACACACACACAGCCTTTGGTTTGTATTTTGTTTATGAGACAGGGTCGCCCTGCTACCTTCGCCTGCACTGGCTTCCAACTCGGACAGGTAGCCTACAGGTGTGTAGTACCACGCCCAGCTTATTCCCATTTTTAATGGGTATATTTATTGATTGTAAATTGTGTCTCCATAAAGTCAATTTAGAGCTGGGTGCTGGTGGCTCACCCCTATAATCCTAGCTACTCAGGAGGCAGAGATTAGGAGGATCACGGTTCAAAGCCAGCCCTGAGGAAATAGACCCCATCTCAAAAAAAACTCACCATAAAAAGGGCTGGTGAGTGACTCAAGTGGTAAGTGCACCTCTCTAGCAAGCTTAAGGCCCTGAGTTCAAACCCCAGTGCCACCAAAAATAAAAAGTTGACTGTTCAACTTAGAAAGTACACTAGTTTTTTATTGCTATCGTAAATGCTTGATGATAATGGACAATTTTCGAAAAAGGAAAAGA